CAAATGGTGGCAAAGAAATGGCTCCTGATGCAATAGATGTAGAAGATAAGATAATTATTTTCTATATAATATGGTAAAGAGTATTAAGTATATGTTAAAACCTAAAGATTAGCAACAAATGTGATCATAACCTTTTAATATAAAATATATTAAACTAATTGACAGCTATTAGTGCAATATGAAATGATAAATAAGTGTAATATGAAAATATTATTACAATAAAATAGCAACAGTATAATATAATTTTAGAAGATATACAATTATTTCGTGGTCTAAATTATAGAGCTCTACGAGTAATTGGACATAGTTGCCACCATACGTCATTAATTTTTTTGAATCTTCTTATTGTAGTTCCATCGTCCAGGTTACAAGTATTATTATAGGGGTCAATCCGAAAATGTTGTATGTATGATGTTGGAAATTGTATATAATCCTATCAAACGACACAACCGCCATGAAAAAACATGTTCAGATGATCCATTTGAAAATTAATTTTTTTTTTAAATTTGATAATATTATCTTACTAGTTAATACTCAGTATCGTTTTAGTATTAATTTCAACTCTATAACAAGCTTTAAGAGCTATTCATGACTATCGAAAAAATGGTAATTACTATGTTCTACAACAACTTCAGAAGTCTCAGTTCCTGTAACAAATACATCAAAGCATTGTGCACTTAATAAAACCTGTTGTATATATTTTGTATAATATAATAGTCACTCTAAAACCCATACAACTCCATACTAGTACTTACCTAATGCACTTGTGATTGTATTTTCAAATGATGTTCCAGTAAGTCTTCTTCCTTCTGCAAGGGTTGTCAAATTTAAACGTCCCAAATCTATGAAAATAATTTTGAATTGTCTATATTTTGAAGAAATAATAAAAAAAAATTCAGTTGATCGTGAAACATATTAATTGCTCTAAATTTCAAAGAGTTTCGATATAAAAAATGTATTATTCAACCAGTCATTAGTGTTAAAACTCAACGAATGTATTTTTTCTATACTTGAAATCATAAAGAACTTAATATTGATTGTAACTTTAGATTGATGAGGGGCACAAATATTCAGGGTGTAGTTATTCCTTCAACTGAATAAGAGCATCCGATACTAAGATAAAAGTTTGAAAATAGTGTACCCGTGGCATATTAAATTTCCAGGTAGTGAATTGTGAATATCATTTCTTTTTCTTGTGAAGTGGTAAAAATAAAACAAATGTTCAGAAACGTTTAATATAACACCGTAAAGGGTAACTAAGTTTCACTCTCTCGCTCTCTCTTTCCCCTCAACAAAAAATTTGTTTATATTAAGTTATTATTGTTTGACATAAAATATTCAAATAATAAAATTATGCAAAACAAGCTTTAAAGGCTATACTTTACGAGTTAAAAATTCGTGATTACCTTGGCTTACTACGTTAGCTTCAGGAATAGCAATTTATGTAACAAATAAATCAAGCATTAAATCATTAGGTGCAATAGGTGTTTGAATAAACGGCTTATATTATATTCCGAAGGATCATAAAAAATGTATGCATTAAACAAATGTGAGGCGAAAAGGGAACTTTAAATTCTCCTCTAGATTCAAAACATTTTGAGAACAGATTAGTTCTCCTCTCTTGAAAATTGGTCATGTTATATATGTTTTCCAAAAAAATGTTTTTTTGAGAAAAAAACGGTCTAAAGTTTAAAAATGTTGCTAATTTTACATTTTACATACTTAATGAAACATAACCAAGTAAAGTGCCCTTAACCAAAAAACATAATATTTTTATCTGATTGATGTTTTGATCTCTCCTGTATTTTGAATTCTCGCAAAAAATGGTCCCTTTTGCCCTTTTCCTCTCGCATATAAGTAGTAGGTGTTAAACTCTGGCTCCCAGTTGCGCCTCCTGGTGACAGAAAAGTGAACTAATTTTGGCTTCAATGGAAAGGCGTTTTCATTTAACCTAACTAAATTTAAAAACATCAACAAAATATTTGGTGAAAGATGTGTACCTAGCTACAGGTCAGCTCTGTACTTATTTCATTATGTGTGCCCTATACCGTATTTATTAGAATAATAATAATACTATATAATAAATACCCAATCATAATAATAATAAAAATACTATTAATATTATTTATTATAGTAATACTAAAGTAAATGTTTCGGCAAATGATGAAAGTAATTTTTTTTTTCACAATTACCAACTTAGTAAACTTATACATTTGAAAAATAATTTGCTCTACAATTATCTCCTACAATAAAATCATTCTTATTGTACGCAAGCTCGATGGCTGCATCTGTAGGTAATACATTTTTTAAAAATATGTGTACAAATAGTGTATTTTAAAACTTACAAAACTTTTAAAAAAAAAAAAAAAAATATTACTGACTTGTAAGAAGAACAAACTTTTTATATGTTGCTGTAAAATTATTTTTCAAGTTGGTAATTGTGAAAAAAAAAATTACCTTCATCATTTGCCGAAACATTTACAAGGAAAAATGTAAATAAAAAACAGAAAAGTTTTATTGTAACTGCAAAAAAAAATAATAAACATAAAATCTATTTATGTTAGTTACAGTCACCTCTAGTGCCAATATGAGAATGAATTGGTTTTGTGGAACTGTTTTTTAAATAATTAATATATATATGTGTAAATGTTTTTACTGGACAAAATATATCCTAGACCGCTAGAACTGATTTTTTTGTATAGCAAGGTAGAATTCGAACTTAAAAGACACTTTATTTGGCCGCCCTAATGAAGATATACAAAAATAAGAAATTATTCTCTGTTAGCTATTTATATATCATATTATAAAAGTTAGGTTACACTATACAAAATACAAAATAGAAAAAAGAATTTTACAAAATTTTGTTACTAATGTCAGATTTTAAGAAGGGACATTATTTACATTTTTTTTCAAAATAAATTTTAAACTTGAATACGCATAATGCTTTTTAAATAACCCATGATGAATTTTTAATTTTTTTTAGTTATTTTGGATAAAATCTACATAATTTTTGCTGTTAAGACCCCATAAAAAAAACTATCAATAAAAAATACTTTTACTAGTTTTTTTCACACTACAACTTTTAAATCAATAAGCTATATATTCAATAATTAGCTAATCAGTTACAATTTTTAGAGTTTTATTAAAATACTTACCGTACATGTTGAGCTGATAGAATTTCTTAGTCAATAATCGACTTGATCAGATTTTGAAATTAAATTTTCTTTTCGTGACTTATTGATGGGCTTATTTTTTACCTAAAAAATCAGAATCTACTAAGTTATTGCAGTGTTGCTTTATTAATTTATTTGTACAGCTAAACATTTTTTTTTTTATATGACTTATGGTGTACATACATTACTTTGACGCGGAGCTTAAACTATATGTCCCGGATACGGTTATAATATTTTGACGATAATGATTTACTAAAATTTGAATACCGTACATGATATCGATGTAATAATTAATTAAAAGTGACTAAGTAATCAAATCCATCAAAAATAGTAATGGCTATAACGAATATTCGAATTTTTTATTCGAATATTCGATGGGTTATTCGAATATTCGATCTGATTTTTTAAATATTCAAATATTTTATCATTTTCTTTGCAGGATTAATTAGATTAAAAAAAAATAATAATTAAGAGACAACTAAGGTGTTTTTGATCTATTCGAATTATTCGAATTATTCGATTACTATTCGAATATTCGAATTATTTTCATACGAATAGTATTATTCGATTATTCGAAAAATTCGAATAATAGAAAAATTCGGTTCGAGGTCTCAGCTCTACTTAAAACGCTTATTTTCTTTAAAGTAATCTCATTGTCGTAGTGTTTCTTGTTGTGCACAAAAAAAAAAATGAAAAATTTGAAAATTGAAAATTGTATGTATTATTTTGCTGTTAGATAGACGTCATTTTCTGTTGAAATTAAATACTTTATTAGCCTTAATGATGGCTTAAATTAAATACTTGGTTTGTGAATATTTATCGATGGTACTTAAAAAAAAATGTACTAAACAATTATGTGCACAAGTGCTAAAATTGTAGGTATGTGTTTCGAAAATATTTTTAATTTATTATAAACTATTTTAAATATAAAAAGTTTTATCAGCAAAATTGCACTTAAAAAAACCAAATTTCGACAACCTTCCCCCCTTTCCGGTTAGGTTAGGTTAAATGTTGCAAATTTCTAAAAACAAATTCTAACCTACCCGTAGTGTGGGCTAGTTTACCCAAATCCGCCCCTGGTTCTTCTAGTTTTCAAAAAAATTCTAGTTTATTATATGGAATATTTGAATAATATTATCATTTTCTTCTTCTCCTTGGGTAATTGGGCCATTGAAACATCTTCAAAAACTACTGTTGAACCAATTTTTTGTTTATTTTGTTTTTATAATCAAATATTGAAGCTCTATGCGTATTGCAGGAAGTCATCCTTTCAAAATACCTGCATCTAACTAAAAAAAAAAAAAATGTACATTAAAATTAACACCTCATAACAACTTAGAAATAAAGGTAAACTTAATTTGACATATTCAAATTTTAAAAGCTGGCTATAGTTAGTGACTTTTGCGTCTTTCAGCACCTGTAACGCACTTAAATTCAATAAGAATAGTAAAAATATATCTAAAATAATCGAATGACTTCCAAGTTTTGGCGCACAACTTACTAGGAATAAATAAAGTCAAAGAAATAGCTACAGATGGCGATGTATGATAAATGATTATGAGGGTAGGAACATTTTAATTTTTCAAAATGTTTCTAATTATATTCTGTATAATAAGGTAAAAAGTATTAAGTATATGTTTAAATCTACACATAAGTAACAAATGTGATTATAACTGTGAGTAAAACATTTTATTATGAAATAAATGAAATGAATTGTCAGCTATTAATGCAATAGAAAAAAGAATATTAGTGCATTATGAAAATATTATAACAATTAAATAACAATATTAAAATACAATTTTAGAAGATATAGCATCGATTCATGGTCTAAATTCTGTTATTAGCTCCTCGAGTAGTTGAGCTTATTTGCGACCATACACCATTGATTTTTTTGAATTTTCTTTCTATAGTTCCATCATCCAGAGTACAAGTAATATCATCGGGGTCAATCCGAATTCTTTTTATGTATGGTGTTGGAAATAGTGTGCTCAAGTATAATCCCATCAACCGACACAACGGTAATAAAGAGTAATCATGTACAGATTCATCTGAAAAATAATAATTGTCTGTTTTTATTTGCTAAAATTAGCTTATTAGTAACTACTCTGTGACATCTTGGTAAAAATAAAATTAAGCAAATTTCATTTCTAAAACAAGCTCTTAAGACTATTTACAACTTATGAAAAGTTCGCAATTACTTTGGTCTTCGACAACTTCAGTATTTTCAGTTTCTGTAATAAATACAGAAATGTAATCAAATCGAAATGTAGTTAATAAAACCAGGTGTATTTATATTATATAATTTAACAGTCACCAATAAAACTTCAAATTAAAATTTACCTAATACACGTCGTCTGATTGTATTTTCTAAAGATGTTCCAGTAATTCTTCTCCCTTGTATAAGGGTTGCCAAATTTGAGCCTACCAAATCTACGAAAATAATTATGAAATTACTGTGTTGAAAAGAAATAATGTGCCCTTAACCAAATAACATTATAGTTTTATCTTAAATAAGTTTTTTAACCCTGATTGATAGATTCTCGGAACAAAACGTCCCTTACCCCTCACATATTTATTTTTAGTTTTCTGCTACCAAGAGCCTAGGTATCCCACAAACTATCGGCATAAAGCTTTATGGCTTCAAGCTTAAAATCGATTTTAGTTGTTCTTTTTTAGAACTACAAATATGTATAAGTACCACTTTTTTAATTTTATATTTACTTGATGTATCTCTAATTTCTAGTTGCAGTACAAACTGTTCATACATGGGTCCTAAAATTAAAACAAAATAATAGGTTTTTTTCATGTTCATATTTATGAATGCGTTAAAGCTTTCGTGAATTGAAATTCCATTTTGCTGATTTTCGGACATATCCACGTTAGTATTTTTAGGTCGACGTTTCGAACTCTGCAATGAGTTCAAAACGTCGACCAAAAAGAATAATACCGTGGATATATCCGAAAATCATCAAAATGGATGTTAATATTTGTTTATAGTATGTTTATAGGATTATTATGTCAATTATTCCTATTAAATACCTTACAAAAAATATTTATAATCGTATATAATATATAAATATGTTAATGGTTTAAAACTCATACAACCCCTTATTAATATTTACCTAATTTACGTCTGAATATATTTTTTAATGCTTTTTTAACAAGACGTCTTCTCTTATCTGCAAGGACTGTTAAATCTAAGCTTCTAAAATCTGTAAAAATTCTTAAATGACGTGTTGCAAAGAAGTAATAAAAATCAAACATATTTTAGTTGGTCGTGATAAAAAATTGTATTACATTTAAAAGTATTGTGATATAACTATTTTTTGTACAACCTGTCATTAGTATTAAAACTTATTTTTTCTATACTTGTAATCCAAAAGAACTTATTATAACTTAACTTATTATAACGAGTATGGAAATATTCGTAATTACCATGGTATGCATCAACTACGGGTTGATTAATGTCTGTAACAAATACATCAATCATCAAATCATTATACAGTTAATAAAACCCAGCTATACATTTTATATTATATCATAAACATAACAGTCACTCTAAAATTAAGATAATTTAGACCAATTAATCTATGCAAAATATTATTGGATAAATGTTAATTTATTTCTAATAGCAACATTTAAATGAACGGTATATTTAATATTTTCAATAATTACCATAAGCTTAAGCATAAGCATACATATATTTTTGACTACAAATATTTATAATTATTAATTTGTTTAATGTTATATTTACTTAATATATTTTTTATTTCTTGCTGCATAGTATTTTGGTATTGCATGCATCCTAAAATGTAAAACAAAATATATTTTAATTTACCTACATATTACTTGTGTATGACACTAATATGTACTTTTGTACTGCATTGGATGAGCGGTATTCCATCCTGAAAGTAAAACAAAAATCTTATGGCATATATATAAGTTTATGACATTAAGCTTTTAATCGATTTCAATCTACAAAAATGTACTATTATTCATTTCTTAAATTTATATTTACTTCTTGTAGTTGTTATTCCTTGTCGGTTAGAATACGGGTATTGCATACCAACCGCTAAAACTTAAAACAAAAAGTATTTTTATCTATCCACATAATTATTTTGATTGAAAACAATATGTCCTAATGGTATTTGTCAATAGGTACATATGATTATTTACAAATTACTTAAAAATAATAAATATGCGTTAGATATATTTATTATGAAATACAAAAATGTGGTTCTATGCACTAGGAAAAAGGGACCCAAGCCGGATTCTAAAAAATTCTTTTGTTCATAAATAATATCAAACAATTTGGCGGAAACACTCCTATAATGTGCATTGAAAATTATTACTTGGTATATGGTTGCTAAGTTCCAATTTTTCTGAAATGAACATTACATAAATTATAAATGATATTCCTTTTAATTTTCTATTATTTAACACAAAGACAAAGCTCAAGGTATAGAAAAAACACGTTTATAAGTAATTAGGAAGAATTGTGTGTCATATGATATTCATTACGATGGATTTTTTTTAGAAAATTTAATAGGAATAAAATGTTGGAAATATTTTCATAAAATTCAACAAAAGCTATTACCCGGTACAGCGATCATCAAATTAAATTGTGCTGAAATCGACATTATATAAATTAAGGATATTAGATTTAATTTGCTACTATAAATTATTACATTTTATATTTATAAATTGGAAGAAGAAGGTCAAAGTAAAAATAAATATAATAAACTTTTCTCAGCAATAACTAGATAAATATTAGTTGCAATTTTCATATATTTTTTTCTACATTTATGATTTTATTTTTTAACTTTAATATTACAATAATTATGCTACCGAAACACTTGTAAGAATCTTCATCATCAACCATTTTTTCAATTACATGCTCCAATCCCTCTAGAATAAGCAAACAAGGATTAAGGCTATAATAAAAGATTGAAATAAAATTAATGTAGGTATCATATACATCTTATAATAGAAAAAAATTAATCCATGATTAGGATGTGGCAATTAATCTAAACGCTACTCCTTCGGTTATATTATCAGAAATCGATACTTTAAATATAATGTTCCGTACACTGGTTCTGCATACCGGATGTACTTTATTAAACTAGTTATAGAAACTTTACATTTTAATTTACAGATAACTTAACAACTAGGTAAACATAACAAAATACTTAGGAACACACCAATATTAGTTGTAAATATATCTTACTTATTACAAAGTTGTTTCCTTCAATTAAAATGGTCTCATTATACGCATCTTCGATAGCTACATCTGTAATACATAATTTTAAAATATGTAGTAAAAACAGGAAATTTAATAACTTTATAAAAAAAAAAATTACTAACTTGTAAGGAAAACAACCTTCTTATAGTTCGCTGTAAAAAAGTATTGAATTTTTTTCTAAATATAACTCTTTTAAGTTGGTAATTGTGAAAATGAAATAATTACTTTCATCATTTGCTGAAACTTTTACGAGGACAAATGTAATTACAAAATAGAAAAGTTTCATTTTAATCTGCAATTAATAATAAACATAAAATCAATTTATATAAGTCACAATTACCTCCGGTGGCTAGATGAGAAGGTTTTGGTTTTGCGAGACTGTATGATAAATATAGAAATAATTTATTTTTATAACTAAACCATGATATTTCCTAAACCGTCAAACTGATTATTTTGTATAGCGTGTTAGATCTTTTTTTTTGGCAAAAATTCTTGTTAGTGCCCCTAATGAAGACCTACAGACTTAAGAGAATGGATTGCGGTAGAGAAAAAAAATGAATTTTAAATAAATATTTTCTCTGTCCTAACACAAAAAATCAATATTTGGCAAAATTATTTAAACATTTATCATAACTAAAAAAATTTCAATACTACAAAATTAAAACAAATAAAATTGGACACGTATATTATGCAGAGTTTTATTCCCTACAACATTTTATTTTATTTCATTTTTGTAGTTTTTAAATTATTTTAGTTATGATATATAAAATCTATAACATATTGCTGAATATTAATTTTTTTTTTAAATTTAGGTTTGTATACACCGAAACGCTACTTTTGTGAGGAATTGTGAAAGTTTTTGTAAATGGTTTTTTTCTACACTCTAAAGTTTACATAAAGCCAAATAATGTATATATTAAAAATCTATTTTAGAATTCTCTTCGAAATGTGGATAGTGTAAAATGCAATACTTGTATCCGTTTTAGTAAAAAATATAAGAACACCTAACTCTCAAACACGTTGTAAATGAACGTTGGTATAACACCATGAAAAAATGACTACTAATAAAAAAAATTCTTACTGTTTTCCTATACTAAAAATTTTGGTTCAAATAGCTAAATAATTTCAATTTTTAGAGTTTGATTGAAATACTTACAATAATTTTTGAGCTGAATTTCTTAGACAATAGTCGAAATGATCAACTTTTCAAACTATATGTTCTTCTTGAGACTTTAATTTCGACCGAAAAATCAAAATCCAATAGGTTTTTGCAATGTAACTATGTTCATTTATTGCACAGCTAGTTCATTTTTTTTTGTATATATATATATACAGGGTGATCCATCTAGCGTAGACTTATTTTCTTGGAAAATATTAATATATTGAATTTTTTCCCCCATTCTTATGGTTCATATTTTACTTTATTTTTCAATGTTTAGAATATTTTTATTTTCAACCCTTATATGTAAAATAAGTATCGCATTTGGTTTTTTAAATGGGAATGTATGTTTTTAATTTTATAAATCTGTAGAAAAAATTGTTAAACAAATTTTAGCGTTTGAATTTCTAATTTTCATCAATCTGTTATTAATGTAATTTTGATCCATATTCATTTGGGATTTTAGCACTGGTAGCATATTAAATGATATTAAATATTATTATCAACCCCGTCGATAAAACCGATAACCAGATAATAATAGACAATAGTTATTTATGTCTGATTATCGGTGACAGTATTACTGATAGGGATCAGTATTATTATTTAATGGCAAATAGACGTGCTACTGTTTTATTTAACCCAACAAATATTAATTTTAAATTCAAACCTTTGTAAAGTAGTAACAATCAAACATATAGTTGAAAAGTACGATATAAAATTAAAACATTTTTTTTAAATTTTGTCTACAGATTTATAAAATTAAAAACATACGTTGCCATTTAAAAAACCAAATGCGATACTTGTTTTACATATAACGGTTGAAGATAAAAAAATTCTAAATATTGAAATATGTATCTAAAAGTTAAGAATAAAAAAATTCTTAAAGTATTCATATTTTCAGAGAAAACGAGTGTCTTACACTAGTTGGATCACGCTGTATATATGTATGACTTTTAGTGTACACACATTACTTTTACGGGTTTTTAGACTATATTATGTTTCAGATACGACAATAACATAATTTATAACAATTTTAACGATAATAAAATACTAAAAATGGAATAACGTACGTAATATGGTACCGATATAATAACGAGTTTAAAATGATATGGTAATCAGCAAAAGTAGTAATGGTTAACAAATGGTTAAGTACCCAATATTAATTTTATTTAATCTAAAACGATTACCAGAGCTTTGAATTATTATACAATGCCAAATTAATAGATTTGACGGCTTATCGGTTTGGTTGGATCACATATGTAAATGTATAAAGTTCGAGTTTTACTTTACAACTTTATATTATTCTATTAATTGTGAAGGCAAACTAAATAATAATTATAGCTAGAGATTAAACTTTTTTGTAGCTTGTATTATATCGTTAATAGATATTTATTTCCAATTAGTTACTAAAATAAAGAAATTTAATAAACAGCGTAGAAATCAAAATTATAGTTGAACTTATTTACGAATAATATTTTACATGTGTTGTCATTTAGTAAACTAAGTAGGGTGAAGGAAGGTATTTTCGTGGCATAAGCAATTTCGTGATATAGTTTGTTGATCGTATTGCGTAATTCTCTATTAGAAAATTGTCTTGAAAATCACACTGATTCTTAAAACACAGTTATTTTAAGAATCAGTGTGATTTTCAAGACAATTTTTTAATAGGGAATTACGCGATACGATCAACAAACTATATCACGAAATTGCTTATGCCACGAAAATACCTTCCTTCACCCTAACTGCTCTATTAGGATTCTTACATCAACAAAAATATTTGAATAAAATAAAAATACTAGGTACAAAATTAACGTATTATGGGTGAAACGTCACAAATACAACAGAAACGTTAAGGATAATAATTTATTGTTGTTATAACGTTTATTGTATATTACAGGGTTTCTTGTAAAAAGTGCGATTTTTGTGTTTGAATTTGTTACTCCGATACGGCTTCAGCTTTTAATTTTTTATAAAAATATACTTACAATCTATAATATTAGGTACAATAAGTAAATTTGAAGAAAATTATACAATAACAGGATGATATAATAGAAGGGGGTGTCCAGTAACACTAATTAAAATAGATTTAATTACATGATTAAATAATTTTATAAATTGATTATGTTTGCATAGTTTGTTTTGTTTTATTATTATTTTTTTTTTATTAAGAAGATCGCGTGATCAATTTTATTTTAAGCGACGAGGTGGATTGTTTGGAAGAGTAAGAGGAGAAATATTGGATTTCAGTGGATTCGGGTGATTCATAGTGTTAGAGTGGAATTGTACAGAAGGATATTATGGTTAAGAGAAATGTTTGAACGAAGAAGATGCCATAAGCTGTGGAGTTTTAATTAAAGAGATATTTTTTAGTTTTAATGTGAGTAGCCCAGGTTAGTCGCTTATCAAGATGAATGCCTAAGTATTTAACGGAGTTTTCTGTTGGAATTATATTATCGTTTGAAGATAATCTGTGAACATTTATTTTCATTTACTTTTATTTTCCATTGGTTAAACCAAGTTTCTAGCTCATTTAGATAAATTTGAAGGTTATAATTGGCTGAATTAGTATCTGGGTTGGAAGAAGTTATGCAGGTGTCATCTGCAAAAGTGGCTAAGTTAGTGGTATTTGAATGAGGTATGTCAGCAGTAAAGATATTATAAAAGAAACCACAATTAAGCTGTATGTAAAAAACAAAAAGTATTAAACAGCTTTAGATCCTTTAGAAATTTGTTATTTAGTCATTTTTGACAGTCAGTTCTTCTATACATTTGCGGAATCCTAGGATATTATGTCATAAATATAAAACCAGTGACCCGTACGAGGTTGTATCTGGTAGGAGGAGCAAAATATCTTCCTTGACTAGGTATCATATAAGTGTAGCAAATTTCCAAAACAAAATACTCTAGATGAGAGATTATGGTATGTAGCCATAACTACCCCCCCCCCTCGTAAAGACCACTCGACAGTATTAAATATCAAATGAATTACCTAGCCGAGGCATGGGCTAGCTTAAAAGTAACTAGTAGGTTGAATTGTGGTCTACCCAAAGATCCTTTCTCTACAGGGTTATGTTCTATTACTGCACGTAGCAGCAGATTTTGGTATTCTCCAAGTATAGCCTCTACTTGAAATATTCAATATTTCCGAATCACTTACAATGTTTTCAGTTTTATATTATCAAAATATTCATATTTCTCGAGAACTGTGTTACTAGATCATCTTGTATAACTATTTTAAAAATATTCGAGTTAGTTCTAAATTTTGCCGATAGGCAATAAATGATGATGAGGATAAGAACATTTCTATTATTAAAAATAATTAGAACTATATTCTGTAAAATAAGGTAAAAAATTTAAGTATATGTTTAAATCTACACATAAGTAACAAACGTGATTATAACTGTGAGCAAAACATTTTATTATGAAATATATTTAATAAGTGACAGCTATTAGAGCAATATGAAAATATTACTACAATCAAATAACAATAGTATAATACAATTTTAGAAGATTATACCATTGATTCATGGTCTAAATTAAATTAAAAGATCCTCAAGTAGTTGATTGATTGAGCTTATTTGCGACCACACGCCATTGATTTTTTTGAATACTCTTAGTGTAGTTCCATCATCCATAGTACAAGTACTAACATTGGGGTTTATCCAAAGCTCTTTTATGTATGATGTTGGAAATAATGTACTCAAGTATAATCCCATCAAACGACACAACGGTAATAAAGAGTAATCACGTACAGATCCATCTAAAATATTAATCAAATATATTTTTTTTTGTTAAAATTATCTTTTTGGTAACTACTCTGTAACATTTCAGTATAAATAAAATGAATCTAATTTCAACTCTAAAACAAGCTTTCAAGGCTATTTACGATTATGGAAAAGTTAGTAATTACTTTGGTCTTCAACAACTTCAGGAATATTAGTTCCTGTATAAAATACATCAAATCGAAATGTAGTTAATAAAACCAGGTGTATTTATTTTATATAATTTAACAGTAATCCATACAGTTCCATAATAAAATTTACCTAATACACGTCGTCTGATTGTATTTTCTAAAGATGTTCCAGAAATTCTTCTCTCTTCTATAAGGGTTGCCAAATTTGAGCCTACCAAATCTACGAAAATAATTATTAAATTACTGTGTTGAAAAGAAATAATGTGCCCTTAACCAAATAACGTAATCATTTTATCTTAAATATGTTTTTTTAAGCCAGATTGATGTTTTGGCTTCTCCTGCCATATGGATTGTCGCAACAAGAGGACTCTTAACCCTCACATTTATTTATTTTTCACTTTTCTGCTACCACGAGGCGCTGAAGGGAGGCCTGGGTACCTTACATACTATCCATATATAGCTTTATGACTTAAAGCTTTACATCAATTTTAATAGTTATTCTTTAGAACTACAAATATGTATTATTACCAATTTTTAAAATTTTATATTTACTTAATGTATTTCTAATTCCTAATTGCAACATAAACTGGTCGTACATGGATCCTAAAAGTAAAACAAAATATATTTTAAAGTACATATATTTTTTTTCATGATTTATCATGTTGGTATTTGTAAATAGGATCTTACTAGTTACTACTTTTCTTTGTGGTGCAGAAAACAACTATCTTATTTGTTAAAATAAAGTCATAGCAAAATAGTACAATATGCACGGACATGTTAGTAGTCATCACTTATTTAGATAATTGTTAAAAATTAAAACTAGTTGTATCCTTGTTATATTTTAGTAAATTATTCCTAGACTGTTATTATTCCTACCTTATAGAATATATATATATATAAATATGTTAATAGTACAAAACTCATACTCGTACATTAGTTAATTACAGTAAATAGTAGAATATATGCATAATAATAATAAATAGACAATTTTATATTGTTATATCGTAGTGAATTTCAATATTTACTTAATTTACGTCTGAATATATTTTTTAAAGCTGTTTTAACCCAACTTCTTCTTTGTTCTGCAAGTGTTGTCAAATTTAAGCCTTCAAAATCTACAAAAATAATTATTAAATGACAGTGTTGTGAAGAAATAATAAAAATAAAAAACATTTTAGATGGTCGTGATACATAATTGCATTACATTTGAAAGAATTGTAATATAATTCATTTTTTGTATAGCCTTTCATTATTGTTAATACCCAACGAATGCATTATTTCTATACTTTCTATTCAGTTATTTTAAATGATACACTTACGTCATGTCTACATGGGTTTTGCAAAAAAAATTCAACTATTACTAATTTATGAGTTTTTTACCCTATTAGGTCTCTGTTATAAGTAATAAGTGTCGAAATGGAAAAATTAATAATTATGTATTTAATTGTATTGAAGTTACCTCTGGAGTACCCCAGGGTGGTCAGATTATCTCAAATTTTATTTAATATTTTTGTTAACGATTTAGATAATGTATTTTATTACCGGAAGTACCTTTTTTTGTGGATATCTTAAAACTATACCTTGAAATAAATAATGTTAATGATTGTATGAAATTGCAAGCGGATTTAGATTTTGATTGAGATCTTAAGCTTGGTGTATTATTAAGTCTAATTGTATTAATGGCTTTAAATGCTCCCAAAATACTTTTTGTAGGAGTAAAGAAACACCAGTTTTAATTACAATATTGATGGTGCTGCGTAAAATATTGTTTCTCAAATAAATTGTTTTATTAAGTGACGTAAAAGAATGTTCAGGTTGTTAATTGTGAATTAATACATATATATTATGTATAGATACGTTCAAAATATCATTAGTAATGGTTACTATGTCTCACTTTCTCTCTCTCTCTCTCTCTCTTAAACAAAATGTTTAATTGTTAAAACTATTGATTGACATAAAACGTTATATAAATAAAATTTAAACTCTAAAACATGCCTTTAAGGGTATTTACAACTATAAATAAATTCGTAATTACCTTGGTTTTCATCAGCTATGGGATAATCAATGCCTGAAACAAATAAATCAAACATCAAATCATTACGCAGTTAATAAAACCAGGTTTATACTTTTTATATTTTAAACATAACAGTCAATCAAAAAATGACATAAATTAGACCAATTAATTATTGCAAAATATCATTGTATAAGTAAATATTTATTTCTAATAGCAACATTTGAATAAACGGTTTATATTATATTTTGAAAGCTTTATGACTACAAAATATAATATGTATCATTATTCATAGTTAATTAATTAAATGTTATGTTCACCTAATGTATATTTCATTTCGTGTTGCATAAAATCCTGGTAATCTATGCATCCTAAAATTCAAAACAAAATATATTTTAATTTTCCTACATATTTTTTGTGATTGACACCAATAAATACTTTGGCATTTGTCAATAGATACGTAATACGATTATTATCAAAGTATTCATAAACAATAAATAAGCGTTAAATATAGTATATAAACAAATGTGGTTACTTTTCATTGGGGTAACGTCTTCCATTCCTGATATAAAAATAAAAATGTTATTGCTTTTATGAAGCTCTTATGACCTTAGGCTTTTAAACAATTTTTTATAGTTATAGCTGTTTATTAGATCTACACGTATTTATATTTAACTAATTTACCTCTTAGGGAAAAGCAATCTAAGCCTGAAATTAAAACAAAAATCCTTTTTTCACAAATAATATCAACAAATTTCGCGTAACCACTCCCATAATGTGCAATGAAAATTATTACGCGGTATATAGTTGATAAGGTCCGTTTGGTCTGAAATTAACATTACATAAGTTAATGATATTGCATTTCTATTATCATTACAGAAAGCAATTTAGAAGAAATGTTAAATTCAATAGGATGGAAACGTTTTGGAATATTTAATAGAAATGCAGTATTGGAAAAACTTAAATAAAATGAAAAAAATAACTATTACCCGGTACAGCGATCATCAAATTAAGTTGGGCTGAAATCGACATTATATAATTTAAGCATATTAGATTTAATTTGCTACTATAAATTATTACATTTTATATTTATAAATTGGAAGAAAAAGGTCAAAGTAAAAATAGATATAATAAACTTTTCTCAGCAATTACTAGATAAATATTAGTTGCAATTTTCATATATTTTTTTCTACATTTATCATTTTATTTTTTAACTTTAATATTACAATAGTTATGCTACCGAAACACTTGTAAGAATCTTCATCATTAACCATTTTTTCAATTACATGCTCCAATCCATCTAGAAGAGTAGACAAAGATTAAGGCTATACTAAAAGATTGAAATAAAATTAAAGTGGGTAGGTACTATATAAGTCTTATGATTAACATAATACTATTAAACCAAGTTTAGGACGTAGCTATTTACCCTAACGCTTCTCCTTCGATTAGTTCATTAGAAATCGCAACTTTAAATATAATGTTCTGTACACTGGCTCTACATACCTGGTATACTTTATTAAACTAATTATAGAAACTGTACATCTTAATTGATAAGAACTTCACAATTAGGTACACATAACCAAACACTTATGATATATTTCCATATCAATTGTAAATATTTCTTACTTATTGAAGATATGTCTCCTACAATTAAATCATTCGTACTGTACGCAATCTCGATAGCTTCATCTAAAATACATAATTTTTAAATATGTATAAAAATAGTGAATTAAACATTTTAAAAAACATTTTTTTTACAATAAAAAAAAAAATTACTGACTTGTAAGAAAAACAACCTCCTTATAATATGTCACTGTAAAATAGTGAAATATTGAATTTTTTTTTCAAATTTATAACTACGGTTAATTGGTAATTGTGATAATAAATATATTACCTTCATCATTTGCTAATACGTTTACAATAACAAATGTTATTAAAAAACAGAAAAGTTTCATTTTTATCTGCGAATAAGAACAAACAGAAAATCAATTTACACTAGTCACAGCTGTCTCCGGTGCCTTAATTAAAGTAATTTTTTTTATGGCGAAAATTCTTGTTAGTTTACTCTAATGAAGACATACAGAAATAAGAAATTGGTCTCTGTTAATTATTTGAGTGACACTGTATAAAAGTTAGTCTACACTATTTAAAATACAAAATATAAAAAAAGGAATTAACTAAATATTGTTTTTTAAGTTAGATTTTGAGAAGGGACATTTAGAATACACATTTCTTTCTAAACTTCGAATAAAGCTTTTACAATCAACCGAGGATTGATTTTAATCAAAGCTATTCATAATTTTATGGTGGTAAAGGTCTAAGAGTTTAGAGACGATGCTGAATACCATAACTGTTGGGGTACTTGAGTAGAATGTAGTGCGGTAGAGAAATGCGTTCAGATAATAATAACTCTACGCGCTTATTTTACTGCACTCTATCACCCATCTTACTCTTTGACCTTTAAAAACTTAAAAAGTAATCTTCCAAAAGTAGCTATCAACCAGTAAAAATTCTCAACAAACTATTCTTAATCAGATGGCTATCTTGAACTTTTTTTTTTTTTAATGTAACACAAATAATTAAATATAAAACAAAAATAAGTAAAATAGTTAAGAGTAGTATAAAAACCGTGTTGTTTTTTTGAGCAATAGCTCAAATAAATATTTAGCTTTAAAAAAATCTTAAATATATACATATATATACATATTTTACTTTAGGATTGTATACAACGAGACGCTACTTACTTTTGGGAGGGATTATGAAAACGATTTCAAAAATGGCTTTTTTTTTACACTAGTTTACATCAAGACAAATAATGTATAAATTAAAAATATTTTTTAAAATTCTCTTCAAAATGTGGATTGTGTAAAACGCAATATTTGTATCTCTTTTAATAAAAAAAAAATAGTAAAACAGCTCGCTCAATAAAGTTGCAAATTAACGCTGACCCGATAACAATATAAGTTTTTCTACACATTAAACTTTGGGTCAATAACTATAGTGACGAAATAAATATTTGGGAAATAATTACAATTATTAGAGTTTGATTGAAATACTTACAACAAATTTTGAACAAATAGAATTTCTTAGAAAATAACCGAATTGATCAGCTTTTGAAACTAAATATTCTTTATTCGTCATATTGATGGGTCTTTTTTTCGACCGAAATTTCCAAGTTTAAAAGGTTTTCGCAGTGTATCTTAGTTCATTTATTTGCGCAGGTGGCTAATTTTTTTTATATGATTTATAGTTTACATATATTACTTCGACGCAGATTTTGGAGTACATGTTTCAGATACGGTAATAATACAATTTATAATAGCTTTAACGATATTGAAACACTAAAATTTGTAGAACGTACATAATATGATGCCGGTATAATAATTAATTAAATGTGACGGTAGGTAATCAGTTCCAGCAAAAGCAGTAATGGCTAACAAAGTATCTACCAATGCTAATTACATTTAATCTAAAACAAAGCTATCTAAAAAAAAGTTAGATTTTTCTGAAATCCAAATTTCGGGCAATCCTATGACTCAAAATCTATTTACAGAAATCATCATCAGATATCCTGAGGTTTTTCGATGGCTCAATAAGTCGCACGAAACAGGTCGACCACGAAATTCGACTGAGGGACCACACCCCTATCGATCTAAACCCGTACCCCTACCCAGCTGAAAAACAAAACACTATAAACGATATAATAAGAGAAATAGAAGATCAAGGTCTAGTAGAACATCGCCCTGGGCAAAACCTATAGTCTTGCAATGAAAAAGGATGGTACCCCACGCCTTTACATCAACTATAGACGATTAAACGAGTTAACGGGATTTGATACTTACCCCATGGCAAATTTAAATGGTATGATAAGGAACACGAAGAGCGCAAAGGTCTTCAGTATACTAGACCTTAAATCCTTTCAAGTATCGTTGAACCCCAATTTTAGGAAATACTCACCTTTTCGTACTCGCAGAGGTTCAGAGTTCTTCTTTTCGGTAATATATTCAGATGACCTTAACAACCATTTAGACCATTTAGGTAAAGTTCTTGAACGTCTAAGTAGACATGTACTGACATGTCACCCTAAGAAATGTAGACTAGAGACCACCGCAATCTCTTTTCTTGGACATCTTGTGGATGCAGAGGGAATACAAAAACAACCCGAAAAACTTTTTGCTATTAGGGACTTTCCAACACTTAGCAAAATAAAGGAGCTTCTTGGGTTCTTAGGCGTATGCAATTGGTATAGCCAGTTTGTTGATAACTATGCGGATACCATCCCTAAAACAGTTATTGAAAAAAAGTTGAAAAGAGGAAATGGTCAGGTAACGAACAGAACGCCTTTGAAAGCATTAAAACGACCCTGTACGACTCCCCAAAACTAAACTCTCTCGACTACAGTAAAATATTCCTCCTCCAAACTGATATAGGTTTAGGAGCTGTTCTTTTCCAACAGGTACCAGCCCGAAGGAAAGACAAGTTATTGTCTACGCTAACAAAAAGTTGAGCAAGACAAAAAAGCGTTATACTGAAGTCGAAAGATAATGTTTAGCTACAATTTGGGCATTCGATAAGTTGCGCCCCTACTTAGAAACGGCACCTTTCGAACTCCTTACTGATAACTTTGCATTGAATTGGATGCATTAGACCAAAGAACAAAAGTCTAAACTAACCCGATGGGCATACCAGCTAAGTAACTTAGATTTCCGAACAATACACGTGCCAAGGTGCCTTAATTAAGCACTTGACATGTTATCCCGGTACCCATCTGATAGTCTCCAACCGCAATATCACTTGACAAAATTCAACAAATCATCTGGTGGTACAACGATCATACTCTAGACAGCCATTGAGGTTAGAAAGAGACTTTCAGGGCCGTGTGACATAGGTTTTACTGGAAAGGTTCGAAAAAGAATATTGGGCCCTTACAAACATTTTGTAAAATCTTTGCTTTTCTCCAGATATGGCCTCATCTGGTAACTTTCAATATGTCTGAATCACTTATAATGTTTCAAGTTTTATATTCTCAAAATGCTTATAAATGCTCAAAATGCTTATTTTCCGAAATGTGTCTTCCTTCAGATGGATCACCAAATATAACTATTTTAAAAATATTCGAATTAGTTCCAACATTTAATTGAATATTCTTTAGATAACTATTATCAATAAACTTTTAGAAACAAAATCGCGTATCGACTAGTACCTAATTTTACCAAAAAAAATTGGACTTGTGCCCGCTCAGAACTTAGCGATACAACTAAGTTGTACAGTTTTGTTTTATATGAATACAAATTCATATTAAATATGCTCGAAAGGTCATGGTTAAGATTAATCGTGAAGAGAGTCTAATATTTGATTTTACTGTTTGTTTTATTGATATAAAAGGATGGAGTGCATGATGGCCCAAAACATACTAGGAATAAATAAAGTCGACGATAGATGATGAAGAGGATAAGAACATTTTTATTTTTAAAAACCATTCAAATTATATTCTGTATAATAAGGTAAAAGGTATTAAGTATATATTTAAATTTACGCATAAGTAACAAATGTAATTATAGTTGTAAGTACAATATTTATTATGAAATAATTTGATGGCTATTAGTGTAATATGAAATAGAATATTAGTGCAATAAAAAATAATTATTACAATCAAATAACAATAGTATAATACAAGTTTTAGAAAATATACCATTGATTAATGGTCTAAATTATATTAACAAGCTCCTCAAGTAGTTGAGCTTATTTGCGACCATACGCCATTGATTTTTTTGAATTTTCTTTCTATAGTTCCATCATCCAGAGTACAAGTATTCTCATTGGAGTCAATCCAAATTTTTTTTATGTATAACGTTGGCAATTGTGTACTCATGTATAATCCCATCAAACGACAAAACCGTAATAAAGGGCAATCACGTATAGATCCATCTAAAAAATAAGATTTTTTTTTTTATTTGCTAAAATTAACTTATTCTATACCTTATTAACTATTCTGTAACATTTTAGTACAAATAAAATAAGGTAAATTTCAACTCTAAAGTAAGCTCTTAAGACTATTTACAACTTATGAAAAGTTCGCAATTACTTTGGTCTTCGACGACTTCAGGATTTTCAGTTCCTGTAACAAATACAGAAATGTAATCAAATCGAAATGTAGTTAATAAATCCAGGTGTATTTATTTGATATTATTTAACAGTCACCCATAGAACTTCAAATTTAAACTTACCTAATACACGTTGTCTGATTGTATTTTCTAATGATGTTCCAGTAGCTCTTCTCTCTTCTATAAGAGTTGCCAAATTTGAGCCTACCAAATCTACGAAAATAATTATTAAATTACTGTGTTGAAAAGAAATAATGTGCCCTTAACCAAATAACATAATCATTTTATCTTAAATATGTTTTTTAAGCCAGATTGATGTTGTGGCTTCTCCTGCCATATGGATCGTCGCAACAAAAGGACTCTTAACCCTCACATAGTAAGTGGGCTTGAATGCCCACTTACTATCGATATATAGCTTTAGACTTAAAATCGATTTTAATAGTTTGCTCTAGAACTACAAATGTGTATAATGTTTTTAATGTTATATTTACTTAATGTATCTCTAACTTCTAGTTCCAAAAAAAACTGGTCGAACATAGTTCCTAAAATTAAAATCAAAATATATTTTTATGTAACTACATATTTTTTACGAATGAAAAAAATATGTCATGTTCGTATTTTGTCAATAGAATCTTACTAGTCACTACTTTTCTGTATGGTATACTTTTCCCTAAGTCCATATTATTATTTACCTATTACACGTCTGAATATTTTTTTTATAGCTGTTTTAACAAGACGTCTTCTCTGATTTGCAAGGATTGTCAAATCTAAGCTTCCAAAATCTGTGAAAATGATTAAATGTCGTGTTGCGAATAAATAATAAAAATAAAATATATTTTAGTTGGTCGTGATAAATAATTCCATTACATTTCAAAAAATTGTTATTTAACTAATTTTTTGTACATTCTGTCATTAGTGTTATTGCTTAACGTATGCATTCTTTCTATACTTGAAATCACAAAGAACTTATTACATATTAACATTGGTTACTATGAGGAGCAAAAATATTCAAGGTGTTGTTATGGCTCCCTCTTGAATTAGAGCACCCAAGCAAACAAAAAAAAGATAAAAATCTACACCCGTAGCGTAAACATATGTCTGAATATCTCACTCTCTCTCTTTCTCTACTGAACAAAAGTTTTTACTGTTAAAACTATCGTTTGATAAAATATATTAAATAAATAAGCTTCAAAGGCTATTTACGACCATCGAAAAATTCGTAATTACCTTGGCTTTCATCAGCTTCGGGAAAATCAATTTCTGTAACAAATACATCAAACATCATAACATTATGCAGTTAATAAAACCTGGTTTGTACATTTTATATTTTATAAAAAACATAATCTGTGAAGCGAAAAGGGACAATACGTAGCTTTGTGACTACAAATATGCATAATTATTAATATTTTTAATGATATGATTACCCAATGTGTCTTTTATTTCTTGTTGCATATAATTCTGGTAATTTATGCATTCTAAAATGTATAATTGTATTGTAAATTGTAAATGTAAAATAAGGGTTTGTATATGCATGAAGTATATGATATAAACAAATTTGTTTACTTTTTATTGGTGAAAGGTATTCCATTCCTGAAATTAAATAAAAATCTTGTGGTCTATATATAACTTTATGACTTTAACATTTAAATTAATTAAAATGATTTTATTTGTATAGTTGTTCTTTAGAACTACAAGTATTAACAATGTTTTTTTTAAACTTTATATTTACCTAATGTATCTCTTATTTCTTGTCGAACAAATAACTGGTATTGCATACCAAGCACTAAAATTAAAACAAAAAATATTTTTATCTACCCATACATTTTTTTTGACTGGTAACAGGTTATAAGTACATATGGCTATTTTAAAATGATTTAAAAATAATGAATATGTGTTAGGTATATTAAATATGAAATACAAAAAAGTGGTTACTATGCATTGGAAAAAAGGGAACCAAGCCTGAAATAAAAAAAAAAAATCTTTTGTTTATAAATAATATCAAGAAATTTCGCGGAAACACTCCTATAATGTGTAATGGAAATGATTACTTGGTATATGATTGACAAGGTCCGTTTTGTCTGAAATTAACATTGTATAAATTAATGATATTGCATTTAATTTTCAATTATTTAACACGGAGACGAAGCTCAAGATGGGAAATAAAATTTGTATTAGTAGTTCGGAAAAAATGTGTTCCACCGGAATTATGAAATTTAATAGGAATGAAATATTGGAAAAATTGGAATAAAACTTTTACCCGGTACAGCCATCATCAAATTAATTTTGGCTGAAATCAACATTATATAAATCGATGATATTAGATTAAATTTTGTATTATAAATAATTACATTCAATTTTTATAAATTTGTAGAAAAATGTCAAAGTAGAAAAAAACTATATTAAATAGACTAGAGAAACTTTATGAAAAATAATGGCTGAATTGAAGCAATTTTGTTGACTAAGCTTGCATCAGTATTTTTCATAAAGATTCTATTTAGAATTTGGAAAAAAATCTAATCACATATTGCATAAATTGCATAAAGATAAATTTAAGCTGCAATTATTATATAATTTTCATATTTTTTTTCTACTTTTATCATTTTATTTTTTGTGTTAATATTGTTATTATTATGCTACCGAAAGACTTGTAAGAATCTTCATCATTAACCATTTTTTCAATTACATACTCCAATCCATCTAGAAAAAGCAGATTAAGATTTATGCTATACTAAAATATTGAAATACAAATAAAGTAGGTACCATTTAAAACTTATAATAAACATAATAATATTAAACCAAGTTTAGGGCGTAGCTATTTAACCTAACACTACTTTAAATATAATGTTCTGTACACCGATTCTACATACCTGGTATACTCTAATAAACTAATTATAACAACTGTACACTTTATTTACAAAGAACTTGCCAATTAGGTACACATAACAATACACTTATATATCGCCATATCAATTGTAAATTTATCTTACTTGTTACAAAATTGTCTCCTTCAATTAATTCATTTGTATTATACGCAAGCTCAATAGCTGCATCTGTAATACATAATTTTAAAATTGTATGTATGGAATATGTATATAAATAGTGAATTTAAAATTTTAAAAAACTTTTTTTTATAAAAATAAAAATTACTGACTTGTAAAAAAAACTACCTTCTTATATGTCACTGTAAAAAAGTGAAGTATTGAATTTTTTTTCAAATTTATAACTACGGTTATTTAGTAATACTATTAGAACAATTATTACCTTCATCATTTGCCAATACGTTGACAAGGACAAATGTTGTTAAAAAACAGAAAAGTTTCATTTTTATCTGCAAATAAGAGTAAACATAAAATCAAAATATATTAGTAACAGCTGCCTCCGGTGCCTAAACTTGACTTCAAATAATTATTTACAAGAATCGATAATTGATTTAAATTAAGGCTGTTCATAAATATACAGTGGAAAAAGTATATAATTTCAGAGACGATACTGGGTGACGATCTGTTTTTAAAATAAAAAATTCCTTGAAATAAAGTTGTCATCGTTAAATACTTGAGTAGAATGGAGTGCGATAGAGTAATGCGTGCACATAATAATAAATCTATTCGCTTATTCTACCGCACTCTATCTCCCATCCTAGCTTCGAACCTTTTATAATAAAAAAATGAATCATTCAAAACTGGCTATCGACCAGTCAAAATTCTCAGCAAATTTTTCTCAACAAAATATGACTAAAATAAAATGGCTATCATGATTTTTTTTTTTTAATGTAACAAAAAAAACTACAAAATAACAGTTAAGAGTATTATATAAATCGTGTTGTTTATAGCTCAAATGAGCTTAAATGAATTAAAAAAAAAATCTTAAGCATTCATACTAAAACAAAAGTTGTATAATTGGTCACGTCCTTGTGGCACACCCTGTACAAACCTAAAGTAAAAAAAAAATTCAAAGAATGTTTTCTCAACCATAGTCCATAATTCAAAAAATAAATATTTGGCACAATGGTTTAATATTTCATCTTGACTAGAAAGTTTCAATAATACAAATAAAAAAAAAAACAAAACTGAACTCGTATATTATGCAGAATTTGGTTTTCCTAATTATATTTTATTCATTTTGATAGTTATTAAATTATTTGAGTTATGATTAATAAAATCTATATTATTTTGCTGAATATTAATTTTTTAATTTTTATTCTTTAGGTTTGTATACGCCAAGACACTACTTTTGTGAGGAATTATGAAAACGTTTTCAAAAATGGCTTTTTTTCTACAGTTTACATCAAGCCAATAATATAATAATAGTATCTCTGCTCCGCATCAAAGCTAAAATTCATTTAAGATTTCTCTTCAAAATGTGGATTGTGTAAAACCCAATATTTATATCTGTTTTAGTAAAAATATAAGAAGACCGTTAGCTCAACTTAATACTGTTTTTCTACACTATACATTCTGGTTTAATAACCTAAATTATTAAGATTTTTCGAGTGTGGTTGAAATACTTACTATAATAATATTTGAGCTGACAGAACTTTTTAGACATTAATCGAACTGAATAGCTTTTGAAACTAAATATTCTTCATGGATGTGCCTTTATTTCGACCGAAAAATCATAGTCTAATAGTTTTTGCAGTGTAACTTTGTTCATTTATTTGCACAGCTGGTTCGTTTTTTTTATAAATATATATCATTTATGGTGTACACACATTACTTCTACACGGAGTTTAGACTCGGATGTTTCAGATACAGTAATAATATAATTTATAAAAACTTTGACGGTATTAAAATACTAAAATTTAAATAACGAACATAGTATTAGATACTGATCTAATAATCATGAACAAAAATATTAGAAAAATAAAAATAATAAGTACAACGTTAACGAATTAACAGAGAAACGTTGTATAACCTTGCTCAGTATATTAGTATAGTCCAACTCAAATATAAACCAAGATTAATTATAAATTAGCATAATTGTTCAAAGGGGGTATTTCATTTAAAATTGATTTAATCACTTTTGAAAGCTTCGACGTGAATCTGTACATAGTAAAACATAGTAGAGTATAAAGTGAATACAGTCTAAATCAGTATAGTAATTCTTGGTCTACCTAAAGATCTTTTTCTCAAAGGGCGGAGCTCTGTTCAGATGGATCACTCTGTATAACTTTTTCAAAAATAACCCAATCAGTTGAAAACTAGTATGGAATATTCTTTAGATAACGTATTATCGATAAACTTGGCCAACTAATAAAATATATCAAAAGTCCTTTCTCCTAGAAGGGGTATAAGACTTGGTTAAGTTTGAACTTAAAGAGAGAGTCTTAATATATTATTTTACTGATTTTTTCATGATATATAGAGATGGAGTGTAGATTGACTTACAACTTACTAGGGATAAAAAATGACGAAGAAATAGTTGCATATAGCGATAGATATAGGAGATAAGAACAATTTTATTTTTAAAAATTATTGAAACTAAGTATTCTGTATAATATAGTAAAAAGTATTAGGTATATGTTTAAATCTAAACAAAAGCAACAAATGTGATTATAATTGTGAGTACTTGTTTATTATGAGAGCAATATGATATAGGATATTAGTGCAATATTATTATAATAAAATAAAAATGGTATAATACAAATTCAGAAGATAAAGTATTGTTTCATGGTCTAAATTATATTCAAAGCTCCTCAAGTAGTTGAGCTTATTTCCGACCTGGCGCCATTAATTTGTTTGTATCTTCTTTGTGTAGTGCCATCATTCAGAGTACAAGTATTATTAATGGGGTCAATCCGAAGTTCTTTTATGTATGATGTTAGAAATTGTGTACTTATGTATAATCCTACCAAACGACACAACGTTAATAAAGAGGCATCACGTACAGATCCATCTAAAATATAAAAACATTTTTTTTTTATTTGGTAAAATTGCCATATTAGTCACTACTCTTTAACATTTTAGTACAAATAAACAAATTTCAATTTTTAAACAAGCTTTCAAGGCTATTTACGAATACCGAAATTATTATATATAATTACTTCGGTCTTCAACAACTTCAGTAATATCATTTCCTGTAACAAATACATCAAATCGTTATGCAGTTAATAAAACTCTGTGTGTTCATTTTATTTAATTTAACATACACCCATACAACTCCATATTAAAACTTACCTAGTACACGTCGTCTGATTGTATTTTCTAAAGACGTTCCAGTAACTCTTCTCTCTTCTACAAGGGTTGTCAAATTTGAACCCACCAAATCTACGAAAAAATATTTTTAATGACGGTGTTGAGAAAAAATGATAAAAAATATTTAAGTTTTTAGTTTTGTTATATTAAATTTAATATTTTACATATATTGTTTTACCGCTTCTTCTTCTTTGATGTATATTATGTAATTTGGATTTTTTAAACTTATCACAAACCTCCGAATACAAACAAGTTTTTAGAAAACGACTTAAAAGTGTTCGACGCAATGTACCAAAAAATTAACACAAAGAACACAGAAAATGAAAAGAATAGCACGCCGTTTTACAGGAAAGAAGTTGGGATGTATTTAAAAAGATTTAAAAAAATGGTGAAAGGAGGACAAACACACACACGATACAGCTCCAGTACGATATACCACGGTCAGGTGAGTTCGGCTATTTATTAAAATAATAACATGAGTAGAGTGACTAGGGAAGATAGAATAAGAAATGAATACATAAGGGGGAGTCTATGAGTTGCATCAGTTGTGGCAAAAATGAGAGAGAATTGATTGAGATGGTTCGGCATGTTTTGAGAGAGATGAGGCAGAGGCAGTGAGAGGTGTCATGGAGATAAATTTAGGACTAGGGTGGCCGACCCCATGTTGTTAGGAGTGTAAGACGACAATGAAGAAGAAGAATAAGAAGAATATAGAATATAGAATTATTATTATTGAAACGACACGATACGATATGACGTTAGGTTAGGTTGGGATAGGTTGGCAACAATGTTACATCTTATCTCATATCAAATAGATTAATTTAGATAAGGTTTAGTGATAAAACTTATCAATTGAATCCAAAATTAGTTTACTTTTCTGAAACCAAGAGGCGCTGCTAGGGGGCTAAGTGCCTCATATAGTACCTATATATAGCTTTATGAATTAATGCTTTAAATCGATATTTATAGTTTTTCATTAGAACTACAAATATGTTTAATTATAAATATTTACTTAATGTATCTCTTATTTCAAGTTGCATCATAAACTGGTCATACATGAACCTAAAAATAAAAATAAATATATTTTAATGTAATATTTGTCATGTTGGTATTTGTCAATAGTTCCTAATTTTATTCATGGTGCCAGACACAACTATTTTATTTGTTAAAATAAAGTCATAACAAAATAATAGACTAAATTGCATGGTGTCCGCATTGTACAACCATGCTATTTGTAATACAAGAAATTATGTGTCAGTAATTATCACTTAATTAGACAATAGTTGTTAAAAAAATTATCTTAAAACGCTTATTTTTCCTTAGAATAATCACAATTTTGTAGTGTTTCTTGTTTTTTATTAAAAAAAAATAATAATAAGAAATACAAACATACAAAACCCAAATTTTGACAACCTTCCCCCCCCCCGCGTGGTTTAGAGGTTGAACATTTTCTGGATACTTCAATTTTATTCGCGCAATTTAAGAGCTTAAAAAAGATAATTTCGTCTAAACACTAATTAAAAGAAACTCATTAAATCCGGTTAGTTTAGAAGGTTTTATTATGATGTCCATTAATAAACATCCATAAACTGAATGAAGTAGACAACGAAGAAGTTAAGCATTTATTTGGTTTACCAAACGAGACCATGTCAAAACAGTACCTTCTACGCAATATCTAAATTCTATCATCTAAAATATACTGACATCTGCATTGGGCTTGTAAAATTCAAATTTAAACGTCGTAAAAAAAATTTAAATATGACCAATTCAAAAAAAATTGTGTAAACGATTTTTTATTTATTTTGGTATTGTAATAAAAAATTGAAGCTCTATGCGGATTGGTAGGAAGTCATCTTTTCAAAATAGCTACATATCTTACGTAAAAAAATGGACATTCAAAATGTACACCTCATTTTAACCGAGCACTAATTTTCATATTTTTGCCATTTTTCAAAATAGAAAAAGTGAATGTCCAAATTGGTCATCTGAAGGATATCTACCTGACCACTACTCAAACCCACTCTGGCAACCCGGACATCCAATTACCTGAGGTCATGCACGTGTCGCTAAATTGCACAAATCCGCCACCAGTCACACGGGACACATGAAGACTCTATTAATTAGTCATCTTACTTTGAAATCGTAAACGGCTTATAATTGTCTTAAGCGTTTTCATTAATAACCTAAGGTTATTATTAAGTCTTGTATTTAGTTAACTATTTACTGAGTTAACTTAAATAAATATTTAAAAAACTGCAACCTATCTTCACTATATTGTGATTAAATCTCAAAGGACCGCCTGTCCAACGAAGACGCAGCCACGAGGGGTTGGTTTAACAGCATAGCAAGGTTAGAAAACGAACTTGAAAAGTATTTTGTGTACCGCACTTTGCTGAATATTAATTTTTTTTTTCTTTTATGTTTGTATATACCGAGACTACGAGATTTGTAACTGTTTATTAAAACACATAAGAAAGCCGTTCGCTTAAAAACGATGTCAATGGACGCTCTTAAGACCCGATAAAAAATAACTATCAATACAAATTATTATTTTTACACTAAAACTTTTGGTTCAATAAGCTAGATGATTACAGCTTTTAGAGTTTCAGTGAAATACTTACAGTATTAATTGTTGAGCTGATAGAGTTTCTTAGACAATAATCGACTTGACCAACTTTTGTACTAAATTTTCTTTTTGTGACTTATGAATGGCCTTATATTTTGACCAAAAAATGAGAATCTATTAGGTTTTTGCGGTGATACGATGTTCATTTATTTGCAGAACTGGCTAATTTTTTTTTTAAACAATTTATGTTGTACATGCATTACTTCGACGCGGAGTTTAAACTATATATTCCGGTTACGGTTGTAAATTATAATATAATTTGAATAAAATTTTTGGAAGCATTTTCTTAAATATGATTTTATTATTTCTTTATATACATTGATTTCATATGCTAGTATAAACTAAACGAAGTAGAAAACGCAGAAATGAAGAATTTACTTGGTTTACCAAACGAGACAATGTCAAATCTATCTAATGTTACTTTAATTTTATTTTGTATTTAAAATATTGGTTTTGTTTCAATAAGAAAATATTTTCAAGAGCATTAATAATTAAGTGTCCTGTGTCAAAAGTAAATTTGTCATAGGTACGTTTTTGTCTAACGTAGACAAAACAAATTAAAACCTTATTTTATTTTTAGAAATAAAGGTAAACATAAGTCGACATATTTAATATTCAAAAACTGCCCATAGTGTATGACTTTGCGTCAGTCAGCACCTGCAACGCACTTAAAATCATTTCGAATAGTAATGCGGAATCCTAGGATATTATGTAATTTATATAATATCAGTGACCCATACAGGGGTTTTTTTATTTGGTAGGAGGAGAGGAATATATGCCTTGACTAGGTATAAAATAAATATTGCAAATTTCCAAACCAAAATTCTCAAGATAAGAAATTATGATAGGTAGCCATGGCCTTTCCCTTTGTGGTGTCAACTCGACATTATTAAACATCAATTTAATAATCTACCCGATGCATAGGCTAGCTTATTAGTAACTAGTAGGCTCAATGTTACAATCACCCACTCAGCCTGAGCTCAGCGATACAACTAGATTGTATAGTTTTATTTTATATAACTGTATTTGTATTGTATGTGACCGAGAGGTCATGGTTAAGTTTAATCGTGAAGAGAGTATTATTAATAATATTTTACTGTTTGTTTTATAGAAATAGAAGGATGGAGTGCAGATTGAAATATAACTTACTAAGAATAAATAATGACGAAGAAATGGCTAAAAATGGCGATAGATGTAGAAGACAAGAACAATTTTATTTTTAAATATAATTTGAACTGAGTATTCTGTATAATATGGTAAAAAGTATTAGATATCTGTATATGTTTAAATTTATACATAAAGGAACACACGGGATTATAATTGAGTAAAAACTATTTATTTAAAATATATTAAATCAATTGACAGTTAATAGTGCAATAAGAAAATATTATTACAACGAAATAAGTATAGTGTAATATAATTATAGAAGATAAGTATTAGATATATGTTTAAAACTACACATAAGATACAAATGTGGTTATATTGTAAATTAAAACTGTTTATCATGATATATATAAAATTAGTTGACAGCTATTAGTGCAGTAAGAAATAATACATTAATGCATTATGAAAATATTATTACAATAAAATAAAAATATTATAATATCATTTTAGAAGATATAATACCATTGTTTCGTGGTCTAAACTATACAGTTTCTCTAACAATTGGACATAGTTGCCACCATACGTCATTAATTTTTTTAAATCTTCTCTCTATAGTTCCATCATGCATGTTACAAGTATTATTATCGGGGTCAATCCAAAGCTCTCTTATGTATGATCTCGGAAATTGTGCACTTATATATAGTCCTATCAAACGACACAACCCCCATAAAAAAACATCATGGACAGATCCATCTGAAAAATTAAAAAACAATTTTTTAATTTGCTAAAGTTAGCTTACCAAGTAATAATACTCTGTAACATTTTAGTATAAATTTCATCTCTAAAATAAGCTTTAAAAGCTATTAACGACTATCAAAAAAATAGTAATTACTTGTTTCTTCAACAACTTCAGAAGTATCAGTTCCTGTAACAAATACATCAAATCGATTTACAGTTAATACAAAATTGGTGGATACATTTCATATAATATAAGTTAATACCATCACTTTAAATCACATATAACTCCATATTAATATTTACCTAGTACACCTCGTCTAATTGTATTTTCTATAGATGTTCCGGTAACTCTTCTCTCTTCTGCAAGGGTTGTTAAATTTAAACGTCCCAAATCTACGATAAAAATTATTAATTGTATATTGAGAAGAAATAATAAAAACTATTTTAGTTGGTCGTGATACATAATTACACTACATTTCAAAGAATTAAGATATAAAAAAATGTTTTATTCAACCAGTCATTAGAGTTAAAACTCAACAAATGTATTTTTTCTATACATGAAATCCCAAAGAACTTATTACACATTAACATTAATTGTAACTTTAGATTGATGAGGAGCGAAAATATTCAAGGTATAGTTAGACTCCCTACTAAATTAGAGCATCCGATATTAAAAAAAAAAGTTTAAAAATCTAAAATAACACCGTAAAGGTTTACTAGTTCTCACTCTTTCGCTCTTTCTTTCACCTCAACAAAAAGTTTATTTTTATTACATTATTATTGTTTGACATAAAACATTAAAATAATAAAATGAAGCAAATTTCAACTCTAATCTTTAACGGCTATATTTTACGAATATTGAAAAATTCGTTATTACCTTCGCTTACTTCATTGTCTTCAGAAATAGCAATTTATGTAACAAATAAATCAAACATGAAATCATTATACAATTAGCAACAGTTATTTGAATAAACGGTTTATATCATAAAATGTTCAAGCATAAAACAAATGTGAGGCACAAAAGGGTAAAGGGACCCTACTTCGCAAACATCAAATTTTGAGTTATTGGTAATTAAACCTTACCAAAAATTAAAATAAGTACCCTTAACCAAACCAAATAATATATTTTCACTAAATATGTTTCTAACCCAGATCGATGTGTTGGGCTCTACTGTGATTTAGATTCTCGAGACAAGAGGTCCTTTTTCCCTTTCCGTCTCACTTATAAGTAGTAGGAAGTCCTCTCGGTGGCAGAAAAGCGAAATTATTTTTGGCTTCAATTGATAAGCGTTATCAATTACGCTAACTAATTATAGATATAATTTATAATTTGTTTAAAAAAATAAGTCGAATCGAGATTCGAACCGGAGACTCCCCGCATGCCGATCAAAAGCACATATTGACATTTTGGTAAAGTCAACCGCTGTTGCCGGCTGTTTTTGACTATGATCCCTCGCTAACTACCTATTTTTAAATCAACATAAATAGCAAGGCATACATTTCATGAACTTTTTAAGTTGAGAATAATGTACTTAAAATTTTAACTTGTCAACCACCGATTTTGAATAACTATGTATTCTTGGAGTTTAGGATAAGAGAAAGGTCGAGTGTAGTATTATTTTTATCAGCGAGCACTTTTCAACCGCACTTCCCTTCAGGTCCTCACTTTCAAAAACTAAAAACTCAAATAACATTTAACAATAGGAATATAAATATTTTTGTTATTATTGAATCGACACGGTACGATAATAAGCGATAATAAGCGATATGTAGACCTAGATAAAACACTTCTTGGCACACCACATGATACCCACCGGCAAGATACGTCGCGATCAGTTCAGGTCATCGACATTATTAGGTTAGGTTAGGTTAAGTTGGCAACGATGGGGTGGCCAAGGTGCGGGGTGCTCCAACTCCTACTCATAAACTATAGCGTTTTAACTTTAAATCGATTTTTTTTTAGTTTTCATTAGATCTACAAATATGTATTTTATAATATATTTTTTAAATTTTATACTTACTTAATGTATTTCTTACTTCTAGTTTTAGTTGCATCATAAATTGGTCATACTTGGGTCCTACAATTATAAACAAATTATAAATTAAGTTACCTAATTTTTTTTATAATTAACACCAATATGTCATTCTTTGTGATACAGATCACAACTATCTTATTTGATAAAATAAAGTCGTAACAAAATAATAGAATATGCATGGTGTCAATATTGTACAGACATGCTATTTGTATTACAAGAAAGTATATTATGTTAGTAGCCATAACTTATTATGATAATTGTTAAAATTTAAAATAAGTTTTATCCTTGTTATATTGTAGTAAAATATTCTTATTAAATCTCTTATAAAAAATGAATATTCTCGTGTATTTAATATATATTTATATATTAACGGTTTAAAACCCGTACAACTTCTTATTAATTTTTACCTAATTTACGTCTGAATATATTTTTTAAAGATGTTATAACACGACGTCTTCTCTGTTCTGCAAGGGTTGTCAAATTTAAGCCTTCAGAATCTACGAAAATAATTATTAAATTACTGTATTGAGAAGAAATAACAAAAAACATTTTAGTTGGTCGTGATAAATAATTTCATTACATTTCAAAAAATTCTGATATATTTATAGTTTTTTGTACATCCAGTCATTAGTGTTAATACCCAACGAATGTATTCTCTTTATAGTTAAAATGCCAAAGAAATTATTACACATTAACATTGATGTAAACTTTAGGTTGACGAGGAGCAAAAATATTCAGGATGTAGTCTCTCTTAAAAAGAAGGTATAAAAATCTACACCCGTTGCGTATTAAATTTCCGGGTTGCTAATTGTTCAAAAAAAAAAAAATATATTATTATAAATTAATTTCCTATTAAAAAGTGGTAAAAACTAATTTATAAGCATAACGTAAAAAAAATCATCGTAAATAGTAACTATGTCTCACTCTCTTGCTGTCTCTTTCTTTCTCCTAAATAAATAGTCAAACTATCGTTTGACATACAGCATTATGCAAATAAAATAGAACGCATTTTAACTCTAACACAAGTTTTAAAGGCTGATAACGAGTATCGAAAAATTCGTATTTACCTTCGTGATATAGAGCATCAGAAATAGCAATGCCTGTAAAAAATACACCAAACATCAAATCATTGTGCAGAATTTTACTAACCACATTTTATAATAAATAACAGTGACTCCAAAACTGAAATAAATTAGACCAAGTAATTAAGGCAAAATATAATTGTATAAATGTTGAATTATTTATCATAATAAAATTTGAACAAATTTGAACTACAAATATATGGGGCATCGGAGTCAAACCTCGTGAATATCGGCATAACATCACCACATTATTTCGAAATTTTTTTTTTCAACTACTTTACCTCAAGTATTTTTTTTAGAATTTATATTACCTAAGTTATTTTTCACAAAAAATCAATTGCGACCAGCTTAAACGAAAAAAGTCTCTGATTTTATATTAAAATTTTCAGAATTTAAAAACTGGGCGATATCGATTTTTCGCGCTAAATAACTTAAAACCCCTCTATTTTAGTGGTAAAAAGGGTGATAAAACTTTCAAAAAATAAGGGACTTACTAAAAAACCAATTTTGAGGAGACCGGTTCGATTACCATAGGTTTGACTCAGAATGTCTCATTTATATAATTATTCATTTTTTTTAATTTGATACTTACCCAATGTCTCCTTTATTTCTTTTCGAATATTTAACTGGTATTGAGCGGCATAAACTAAAATTTAAAACAAAACATATTTTGATTTACCTACATATTTATTTTTTAATTAAAAACAATATTATGGAATTTGAAAATAGGTATATGTGATCATTTTTATAGTGTTTATTAATAATGAATAGGCGTTAGATATTATATTAAACATAAACTATTGAAATATGGTTACCAGTCGGTGGGAAAAAGCGAGCTAATGCTGAAATTAAAACAAAAATCTTTTGTTCAAAAAAAAATATCAAACAACTTCGCGAAAACATTTCCATAATGTACAATGAAAATGATTACCCGTTACAATGTTGGCAAGGTCCACTTGATCTGAAATTAACTTTACATAAATAAATAGTAATGCATTTGCTGCTCAAGGTAGAAAACAAATGTTTATTAGTAACTGGGAAGAAATGTATTCCATCGGATATTTAGTACGATGAGAATCGTTTTGGAAAATTCAACAGAAATGAAATTTTGGCAATATTATCATAACATTCAACAAAAGCTATTACCCGGTGCAGTGATCATCAAATTGATTTTGGCTAAAATCGACATTATAAAAATGAATGATATTAGATTTGTTTTGCTACTACAAATTATTACATTTTATATTTATAAATTGAAAGAAGAAGGTCAAAGTAGAAAAATTGGTTGACTAAGCTTACATCAGTATTTTTCATAAAGATTTTATTTAGATTGTAATTTTTATATCATTTTCAAATATTTTTTTTTACTATTATAATTTTTTTAATATTATTATAATTATGCTACCGAAATTCCTGTTAGGAGAACCTTCATCATTAACAATTTTTTCAATTATATATTCCAATCCATCTAGAACAAGCAGACAAAGATTTAGACTATACCAAAAAATTCAAATAAAATTAAAGTAATAACTACTGTTCTATAAATAGAAAATTTTTAAACCATGTTTAGCCATATACATTTAACTTAATAATTCTATTAGCTTATTAAAAGGATCCACTTTAAATATAATATTCTGTACACTGGTTCAACACACCTGGTGTACTTTGTTAAACTAATACAAGAAATTATTATAATCAATTATATATTACATTATATAAAATAGCAATTTTATAAAGTACTTGACTAATAAGTACTCATAACAAAACACTTATATTATAATGGCATATCAATTTTATATATCTTACTTGCTCTAGAATTATTTCCTACAATTAAATCATTCTTATTAAATGCTTGCTCGATGGCTGCATCTGTAATACATAATTTAAAAAAATGTATAAGAACAATGAATTTAAAAACTTTATAAAGACAAAAAAAAAACACCGACTTGTAAGAAAAACAATCTTTTTATATGTCTCTGTAAAAATAAGAGGAATTGATTTTTTTTTCATATGTAGGTACAACTCTATTAGGTTTTTAATTGTGAAAATAAAATAATTACCATCATCATCATCGTTTGCCGATACACTTACAAGGATAAATGTGAATAAAAAACAGAAAAGTTTCATTTTTATCTGCAAATAAAATAAACATAAATAAAATCAATTTATATTAGTCACAACTGTCTCCGGTGCCAAGATGAGAAGGTTTTGGTTTTGCGAGACTGATCTTTATACGATTTATATATGTATATACATTTTTTTTCTAGACAACAATATTTTCTATACCCTTAAAATTGATTTTTTTGTATTGTTACAATGCCATTTATATTATACATCTTATCCTGTATTAACCGAGCACTAATTTTCATATTGTTACCATTTTTCAAAATACTAAGAACATATTATTATATAAGCATGTTGTATTGTGACGCACAACACATACCGCGGGAAAGGGCGCAATTAAACTGTTTTCACAGACCTGCAAGACGGCGCATCTGCATAGTTCAAGGACCGGAGTTGGCAAACGCGTGTCACTAATGGCTATCAAGCGCGCATTTGCAAAAGTGGATGTCCAAATTGGTCATCTGAGGGGATATCTACCTGACCACTACTCAATGTATCTGATAAGAACGGATGGTTTGTTTTTAGCCGACAAAAACCGTGGCGCTTATAGTGCAAATGAGTATAACTTATTTAAAAAAACCAATTTCAAAAATATTCACTAGAACAAAAGTTATTTAATTTTTCAAATCTTTGTGGGCCACCCTGTACAAGCATATGTGACTGATCAGCAAGTGGACCAACCCCATTCTCATTCCCATCCCCACCCCAACCCCATCTCCAGCCTCTCCACATCCCCTTATCTGTAACTCTTATCTCTAATATCTAATCTCTTATCTTTCTTATCTTATCAGATAAATCTTCTGATATTTTTGTGAGGAAAAAAAGTGAAAAGGATTCATGATAAGGACAAATTTTCTTCGGTAACGTTCTGCGTGATGCACGCACACACAGATTTTCTTATTGACCCCCCAGCCAGATAACATATCCATGTGGAAATTCTTAAACATATACATATACTAGAACAAAAGTTATTTAATTTGTCAGGTGTTTGTGGCACACCCTGTGTACACAAACCTAAAGTAAAAAATAACATTTTGATATTTCCTCTGTTCTAATTTAAAAAATCAACATTTAGCCAAATGCCTTTTATATTTTATTTTTAACTAAAAAAGTTTTAATACTACAAAATTCAAAAAAATAAAATCGGACACGTATATTGTGCAAAATTTTTAAAAAAGTAACTAGCATTAAAAATAACTTATTACTGTTTTTCTACAATAAAAATGTTTAGGGTTTGATTGAAATATTTACAATAATTTGTGAGCTGATAGAATTTCTTAGACAATAATTGACTTGATCAGCTTTTAAAACTAAATTTACTTTATAGGTCTTATAAATAGGATTATATTTTGACCGAAAAATCAGAATCTAATAGGGGTTTGCAGTGTATATGTTTTTTATTATATTACTTATTTTATTATATAAAAGTTTGTTCATAAGTGGGATCACTTGGAGTATTAACTGAGCAATCTATTCTTAGAATTGTGTTTTAAATACTAGCGGCCTCTAAGCTCATCGAGACTCCAACACCTCATTGGGCTTTATAAAAATCAAATGATTTCAATATACAATTTTCATTAGTATAGCAAACATAATTGCACAAACGCCTTTATTTTCAAGTACAATCAAGGTATTGTTCCATGTTTATATGTAATTACTGTGATTCAAGTAGAAATTTAATATATTTTTGTGTACACATAACAGCGGATAACGTTTTTCTCAAATAAAAAATTTAATTAAATATATTTAAAGAAAAGACGGTCGTATTTAGTACTTACAAATAATAAAGGAACACATACGAACTATACAAACAATATTCAAAAAAATAGCTTGATATCTAAACGGTATTTATTCAAACTGAGTATCTTAATAAAAATTACTAAAACTAATATTTTTTTGTTAGGATTTTTTTTTCGCAGTTACAATACAATTTATGACTGGTTTATGTTTATTATTGCATTAAAAAGAAATATTTGTTTAAAAAAACACTACTTATATGTTGAATAAAAGTTTTAGTATTATTTAATAAATAATACTCATTACTGTTTTTTTACACTATAACTTTTTGTTCATTAGCTCGTGCCTATTTAGTTTTAGCTTAATAACAATTTTTAGAGTTTGATAGAAATACTTACTAAAATTGTTGAGCTGATAGAATTTCTTAGACAATTATCGACTTTTGAAGCTAAATGTTCTTCATGTGACTTATAAATGAGTTTATGTTTCGACCGAAAAATCCGAATTTAATAGGTTTTTTTGCAGTGTAACTGTGTTCATTTATTTGAACAGCTAGTTCGTTTTTTTTAATATGATTTATGTTGTACATACATTATTTCGATGCGGAGTTTATACAATGTTCCGGATACAAATATAATATAATTTGAATAAAACATTAACGATATTGCAATATTAATTTGAAAACGTACATAATATCATACCGATATAATAATGAATTTAGATTGATTAGGTAATCTTTTCCAACAAAATCAGTAATGACTAACAAACCTACCTAATGCTAATTACATTTTATCTAAAACAATTACCAGACATTTGAATTATTAAACTATCCCGGATTAAATTATTTGACGGCTTATTGGTTTGGTTTGAAAGTGTTTTAATCATTTCCGAAAGGTTCGATGCGAATCTGCACATAGTATTAGGTTTTACAGCCTAAATCAGTACAGCTTAAACCAGTAGAGTATAAATTAAGTTCTGTCTATACTAATACAGTATAAACTAAATACAGTTTAAACCAGTACAATTCAAACTAAGCACGGTGTAAACCAATAAAGTGCAAATTAGTAAAGTTACAACTAGTATATGTGAACCAAGTATTGTCCAAACCAGTATAGTCGAAATCAAGCAGAGTTTAAACGCGCACATTATAAGACATTATCAATGTGAGGTCCAGTATCCACAGATCGCATAGAAGCGTTTTCTTAAATGTGATTTCAAATTTTCTTTATACAACTTGATTTCGTATACTAGAATCTAGTGCTATAAATTCTAATGAGTATATTGCCAACTAGTTAGATTTTTTTTGTTCATCTCGCGATTCCGTCACTAACGTTATTTGGTGTTAATAAAGGGAAATAGTAGGTATATATCTAACATACAAGGAAGCTTACATACTACAACAACACTAGAGCCAACCCTAATAACCAACCTCCCCTCCCGTGAAGACCACTCGACAGTATAAAACATCAAATGAATAACCTACCCAAGGCGTGGGCTAGTTTGTAAGTAACTTTTGCGCCGAATCGTACAATCGCCCGGACCGATGATTTACCCCAACCCTCTTCTCGGTCTATCCAAAGATCAGCTCCTTACAGGGTTCTGTACTATCATCGAACGTAGCAATGGATTTTGGTTTTCTCCAGGCATGGCTTCTTTTGTTAACTTTCAATAAGTCCGAATCAATTATAATGTTTTCAGTTTTATACACTCAAAATATTTATATTTTCTGAGAAGTGAACTATTTCAGATAGATCACCTAGTATAACTATTTAAAAAACAGTCGAATTAGTTCAAAAATGTTGGCCCAAAACTTACTAGTAACAAATAAAGTCAAAGAAGTAGTTTAATTTTATATAATTGTATTCATGCTGAATGTGCCCGAGCGGTAATGTTTAAGTTTAATCGTGAATAGAGTCTCATTAATATTACTTTACTGTTTGTTTTATAAATATAGAAAGATGCAGTTCGAATTAACTTACAACTTACTAGGAATTAATAATGAAAAAGAAATAGCTATAAATGATGTAGGGATAAGAACACTTTAATTTTTAAAAATGATAAGAGCTAAATATTCTGTACAATATGTTAAATCGTATGAGGTATATGTTTAAATCTACACATAAGCAACAAATGTGGTTATATTGTAAAGTAAAACTGTTTATTATGATATAAATTAAATTTGTTAACATCTATTAGTGCAATATGGAATAATATACAAGTGCAAAATGAAAATATTATTACAATAAAATAAAATAGTATAATATAATGTTAAAAGATATATCATCGTTTCGTGATCTAAATTATATTAAGAGCTCCTCGAGGAATAATTGGACTTAGTTGCCACCATACGTCGTTAATTTTTTTAAATCTTCTTTCCATAGTTCCATCATGCAGGTTACAAGTATGATTATCGGGGTCAATCCGAAGCTCTCTTATGTATGATGTAGGAAATTGTACACTTATGTATAATCCTATCAAACGACACAACCCCCATAAAAAAACATGTTCAGATGATTCAGCTGAAAATGTAATTTAATTTTTTTTAATTTACTTATATTAGCTTACTAGTGAATACTCTGTAGCGTTTTATTATAAATTTCAACTCTAAAATAAGCTTTAAAAGCTATTTACGTTTATCGAGAAAATAGTACTGGGTCATTCCAGGTGAAATCACCTAATGGGTGTGCGAGTATACTTCAAAAATTTTTGAAATTTTTATCATATATTCTTTATGGTCCTTAATAACACAAAAATTAAAAAATAAAATATTTTAATTTTTTTTGGACCTAGTAAAAAAAAAAATATATATTTTTACTTAAAATATGGTTAAGAACACTTAATTCTAATTACAGAGTCGGGAACATAAGGTGTTTTTGGATATTTTTTTATAAAAATTGACCTACCTAGGTCCATTAAGGACCTAGGTTATTAAGGACCTATAAAGAATATATGATAACAATTTTAAACATTTTTGAAGTATAGTCGCACATACATAAGGTGATTGTACGTGGAATGACCCTACTTACTTTCTTCTTCGGCAACTTGAGAAGTATCAGTTCCTGTAACAAGTACATCAAATCGATATACAGTTAATAAAACAATGGTGTATACATTAAATATAATATTAGTTATTATCTTCATTCTAAAACCTAAACAACTTCATATTAATATTTACCTAATACACCTCGTCTGATTGTATTTTCTAAAGACGTTCCAGTAAGTCTTCTTTTTTCTGCTAGGTTTGTCAAATTAAAACGTCCCAAATCTAACGAAAATAATTATCAATATCATTATTATTGTTTGACATAAAACATTCAAATAATAATATGATGCAAATGTCAACTCTAAAACAAGATTTAAAGACTATATTTTACGAATATTGAAAAATTCGTGATAACCTTCGCTTACTTCCTTGTCTTCAGGAATTGCAATTTATGTAACAAATAAATCAAACATCAAATCATTATACAGTTAGCAATAGTTGTTTAAATAAACGGTTTTTATAATATTTTTTTATTATAGGATCATAAAATAAAATGTGACGCGAAAAGGAAAAAGGGATCTCACGTCGCTAACATCAAATTTTGAGTAATTGGTTACTTAAAATTCTGCACTATATTTAAAACATTTTGAGAACAGAATAGTTCTCCTATCTTGAAAATTGGCCATGTTGTTATTTTTGTCAACACAAATATTGTTTGAATTTGTTATCGGAAATATTTTTTTTGAGAAAAAATCCTTTACAGTTATAAAATGATGGTAACTTCTTATTTCACATATTTAAGAAATGAAATTTAACCAAAAATTCAAAAAACTGCCCTTGACCAAACAACATAATATATTTTCACTGAATATTTGTTCAACCCTGATCAATGTGTTGGCCTCTTCTGATATTTAGATTATCGCGATAAGAGGTCCTAGATCCCTTTCCGTTTCTTTTATAAGTAGTAGCATGGCCTCGCGTTGGCATAAAAGTGAACTAGTTTTTGGCTTCATTTAATAAGCTTTATCCATTAACCTAACTAAAAAGAGTAAGAATAATGTAAATTGTTTTCCCCTCCCTCTTGTTTGATTTAAATAAGAATTTTGGAGACTTTTAAACTTATCACGATCCTCCCATATACAAAATGAATTTTCAGAGAACAACCTAAAAGTGTTTAAATCTCATACTACATGCGACTAACGCAATGTACCATAATACAAGAGTAACGAGCAAAATAAATTGAAGCCAAATTTAGCTCATTTGTCTGCCACCCGTAGACACTGCAAAAGGGCCAGTGCCCCAACTCCTACTCACATTAAGTAACTTTACACTTACTTAATGTATTTCTTACTTCTAGTTTTAGTTGCATCATAAACTGGTTATACTTAGTTCCTAAAATTAAAAACGACATATATATTAAGGTACCTCATATTTTTTATGATTGACACCAATATGTCTTTTTTATTTTTGTCAATATAAGTTAACTATATAGTTACCACTTTTCATTGTAATACAGAACACAACTATGTTATTTGTTAAAATTAGGTCATAAAAAATAATAGAATATGCATGGTGTCTGTACAGCCATGCTTATTAATATTTACCTAATTTACGTCTGAATATATTTTTTAAAGCTGTCTTAACACGACGTCTTCTATTATCTACAAGGGTTGTCAAATTTAAGCCTCTAGAATCTACGAAAATAATTTAATTACTGTATTGAGAAGAAATAACAAAAAATATTTCAGTTTGTCGTGATACATAACTGCATTCAATTCCAAAGAACTGTGATATAATTAGATAAAGTATTTTGAACATCCAGTCATTAGTGTTAATACCCAACAAATGTATTCTCTTTATAATTGAAATTCCAATGAACTTATTACATATTAACATTGATGTCAACTTTAGGTTGACGAGGAACAAAAATATTTAGGATGTAGTTATGTGTCTCTCTTAAAAAAATGTATAAAAACCTACACCCGTGGTGAATTAAATTTCCGAGTTGTTAATTGTGAATAAATATATATAATTATAATTAAATTTTCTATTGCAAACTGGTAAAAAATAATTTATAAACATAACGTTAAAAAAATCATAAATAGTTATTATGTTTCACTCTCTTTTTGTCTCTCTCTTTCTCTTAAACAAATATTATATATTGTTAAAACTATTGTTTGACATACAGCATCGTGCAAATAAAATAAAACACATTTTAACTCTAACACAAGTTTTAAAGGCTGATGACGAGTATCGAAAAATTTGTATTTACTTTCTCGATATAGAGCATCAGGAATTTCAATGCCTGTAAAAAATCCGTCAAACATCAAACCGTAATGCAAAATATAAAACTCGGTTCGTACATTTTATCAATAACAGTCACTCTAAAACTGAGATAATTTAGACCAAGTAATTAATGCAAAATATTATTGTATAAATGATAAATTGTTTCTAATAACAAAATTTGAACAAACGGTTTATATATAATTTCGAATAACCATCTAATCATAAGCATAAACATTCATAGCCTTTTGACTTTATTTTTTATAATCAATTTTTTATAGACTTTCTTTAGAACTACAAATATATAAAGCATTCCGAGTCAAACCGAGCCTTACCCCTTCAACATTTTTCGTAAAATGTTTTTAAACTTCTTTTGGTTTAAAATTTTTTTGAAATTTGTATCACTCATATTTACTCCTAAAATGGAGATTTTTTAAGTTATTTTTTACGAAAAATCAAATGTTTTAATGATATAATATGACCAGTTTTAAAATTTGGTGTGTTCAGAGCGCCATACCACGCCCCTCAAAATCCTCTCTTATAGGGGTAAATATGTGTGATAAAAATTTCAAAAAATATATCATATATTAGACCAAAAGTAGTTAAACATTTTTTTTTTAATTTAAAGGTCAGGCCCCATTTATATAATCATCGATTTTTTAAATATCATATTTACCTAATGTAGTTTTTATTTCTTTTCCCATGCGTATCTGGTATCGCATAGCAGAAACTAAAATTTAAAACCAATTATATTTTAATCTACTTACATTTAATTTTTTTTTGATAGCAATATGTCCTATTGGTATTTGACAGTAGGTACATATGATTATTGTCAAAGTATTTATAAATAAAGAATATGAGTTAGATATTATATTAAAAATACACTTTTAAAATATGATTACCAATAATTGGCAAAGAGTTTTCGGAGCCTGAAATTAAAATAAAAACCTTATGTTCATAAGTAATATCAAACAATTACGCGGAAACACTTCCATAATTCGCAATGAAAATTATTACCCGGTACAATGTCAGTAAGTTCCAATTTGCCTGAAATAAGCATTACATAAATTATTGATAGTGAATTTCTATTATGATAACAGAAAGACGAAGATCAAGGTAGACAAAAATCATGTTTATTAATAACTAGGAAGAAATTTGTTTCATTGGATATTCAATCCGATGTAAATCTGTTTAGAAAGTTCACTAAAAATGAAATTTTGGAAATATTTTCATAAAATAAACAAAAGCTATTACCCGGTACAGCGATCATTAAATTGATTTGGGCTGAAATCAACATCATATAAATCAATGTTATTAGATTTTATTTGGTATTATAAATTATTACATTTTATATATATATAAATTAGAAAAAAGTAGAAAAAAATATATTAAATAGACTAGGAAACTTTATGAAAATTAAATGGCTGAAATGAAGCAGATTGGTTGACTATACTTACATTAGTATTTTTCATAAAAAATCCATTTGGAATTCGAAAAATTGGAATATTTATATCACATTAATAAAAATAAGTTTAAATTTAAATTTTTATACCGATTTCAAATATTTTTTTCTACTACTATAATTTTATTTTTGTATTGATATTATTATAATTATGCTACCGAAACTCCTGTAAGAACGGTCATCATTAACAATTTTTTCAATTATATGCTCCAATCCATCTAAATTAAGCAGACAAAGATTTAGACTATACTAAAAGATTGAAATAAAATTAATGTAGGTTAGTAGGTACTAACTACTATATACATTTTTATAATAAATAGAATATTTTTAAACCATGTTTAGCACTTAGTAGTAGTCATATTTTTAACTTACTTTTTCGATTAGGTTATTAAGAGTCACTACTTAAAATATAACGTCACACTGATTTAACATACCTGTGTACTTTATTAAACTATTTAGAGAAATGATTGAAATCAATTATATATTACTTGCTAATTTACTAAGTACTTAACTAATAGGTACTCGTAACAAAACACTTATATTATAATGGCATATCAATTTTATATATCTTACTTGCTCTAGAATTATTTCCTACAATTAAATCATTCTTATTAAATGCTTGCTCGATGGCTGCATCTGTAATACATAATTTAGAAAAATGTATAAAAACAGTGAATTAAAACAATTAGAAAAACAAAACAAAAATACTGACTTGTAAGAAAAACAACCTTATTATATGACTTCATAAATGCTGTAAAAAAATAAGTATTGAATTTTGTTTTCAAATTTATAACTCTATTAAGTTGGTAATTGTGAAAATAAAATAATTACCATCATCATCATCGTTTGCACTTACAAGGATAAATGTGAATAAAAAACAGATAAGTTTCATGTTTATCTGCAAATAAAAATAAAGATAAATAAAATAAATGTATGATAGTCACAACTGCCTCTAGTGCCAAGATGAGAACTATGGCAATTTTTTAAATATTTTTCATTATACTTTACATATTAAGCATCCAAAGTAAAATAAAATGTACAAAAAAGAATATTTTATTTAGCCCCAACTCAAAAAGTTTATACCTATTTAGAAAAAAATTTCAAATTGATCATAACTCAAAAAATGTCAATACTACAAAAACTATTTCGCATTTTATAAGTGTACAATATTATTTTAAGAATTTTTTCGTGTTCACTAAAAAAAATTCCAAAATTAAAAACATGCAAAAATAAGTATTTTTACTTAGACTTAATTTTTAAAGTAAATAATAATATTTTTTTTTTGAAAAACTGTATCAAAACTGGTGTTTTGCATGTTTTAAATTTTAAGATTTTTTTTCTTACTTTAGGTTTATATACACCGAGACCCTACTTTTGTGAGGAATTATAAAAACGATTTTAAAAATTATTTTTATTTCTACACTGTAGAAGTTTACCTCCAAGCCAAATAATGTATAAATTAAAAATCTATTTTGGAATTCATCAAAATCTAGATTATGTAAAACGAAATTATTATATCTGTTCCAGTAAAAAATACAAAGAAAACCCTTCGCTCAATAACTTTGTAAATAAAAGTTAATACCCGCTAACAAAATAACTAGCAATAAAAAAAAATTATTACTGTTTTTCTTCACTACAAATGTTTGTTCAATAAGCGAAATAATTACAAATGTTAGGAATTGATTGAAATACTTACAATAATTTTTAAGATGGTAGAATTTCTAAGACAACAATCGACTTGATCAGCTTTTGAAACGAAATATTCTTCATGGGTCTTATGGATGTGCCTTTATTGCGACCGAAAAATCCGAATTTAATAGGTTTTGCAGTGTAACTTTGTTCTTTGGTTTGCACAGCTGGTTTCCCCTTTTTTTTATATGATTTATGTTGTACATATATTATTTCGACGCGGAGTTTAGACAATGTTCCAGATATGGTTAAAATATAATTCGAAAAAAACTTTTACAATATTGAAATACTAAAATTTGAATAACATACATAAAATTCTACCGATATGAAAATGAATTTAAAGTGACTAGGTAATCGTTTCCAGCAATAGCAGTAATGGCTAACAAACCTACCTAATTCTAACTATATTTAATCTAAAACAACTAACAGACGTTTGAATGATTAAACCATCCCGAATTAATTGATCTGGCGGCTTACCGATTTGGTTTGAAAGTGTTTTGATCATTTTCAAAAGGTTCCATGCGAATTTGCATATATAGTATAACCTAGTGCAGTCTTAATCAGTAGAGTATAAATTAAGTTCTGTCTACACCAATACAGTATAATCTAAATACAGTGCAAATAAGTAAAGTTAGAACTAATATATATAAACTAAGTATTGTTTAAACCAGTACCAAGCACAGCTTAAACCAGCACAGTAAAATATCATCAATGTGAGGTCCAGTAACCACATATCGTATTTCAGAGCGATTTCTTAAATGTGATTTTATATTTTCTTTATACAACTTGATTTTAGGTACTAGAATCTAGTGCTGTAAATTCTTATGAATTTATTACCCACTAGCTAGAGTTTTTCGTTTATCTTGCGATACCGTCACTAATGCTATTAGGTGTTGATAAAGGGAAACCGTAGGTATATATCAACAAGGAAGCTTACATACTATAATAAATATGTCAATAGTTGCAGAGTTCCTAAATATCACAGGTTTTCATAGAAAGAATGAATTGTGGATTGACTTGCAACTTATTAGAAATAAATAATGAAAAAGAAATTACAACAAATGGCTATATAGGTGTGAAGAACACTTTTTAAAATGATTCGAACTAAACATTCTGTATACGGTAAAAAGTATTAGGTATATGTTTATATCTACACGTAAGATACAAAAGTGGTTATATTGTAAATTAAAACTGTTATACATAAAATTATGATATATGTAAAATTAGTTTACAGCTATTAGTGCAGTAAGAAATAATACATTAGTGCAATATGAAAATATTATTACAATAAAATAAAAATAGTATAATATCATTTTAGAAGATATACCATTGTTTCGTGGTCTAAATTATACAGTTTCTCGAACAATTGGAAATAGTTGCCACCATACGTTATTCAATTTTTGAAATCTTTTTGTCGTAGTTCCATCATCCAGGTCACAAGTATTATTAGCGGGGTCAATACGAAGCTCTTTTATGTATGTATCTGGAAATAGTGCACTTAAGTATAATCCTGCCAAACGACACAACGGCCATAATCCAACTGAAAAATTAATTTTTTTTCTTTAATTTTCTTATATTAGCTTACTAGTCAATACTTTGTAACGTTTTCGTATAGATTTCAGCTCTAAAACAAGCTTTAAAAGCTAACTACGTACATCGAAAAAATAGTACTTACTTTCTTCTTCAACAACTTGAGAAGTTCCAGTTCCTGTAACAAATGCATCAATTACAGTTGGTAAACAATTGGTGTATACACCAATTTTATATAATATTATAGTAACTACCGTCACTCTAAAATCCTTACAACTCCATATTAATATTTACCCGATAAACCTCGTCTGATTGTAGTTTCTACTGATGTTCCAGTAAGTCTTCTTCTTTCTGTCAGGTTTGTCAAATTTAAACGTCCAAATTCTACGAAAGAATTATTAATTTACATTATTATTGTTCGACGTAAAATATTAAAATAATAAAATGTAGCGAAATTCAACTCTAAAACAAGCTTTAAAGGCTATATTTTACGAATATTGAAAAATTCGTGATTACCTTCGCTTACTTCATTAGTATCAGGAATTGTAATTTATGTAACAAATAAATCAAACATCAAATCATTATACAGTTAGCCATAGTTGTTCAAATAAACGGTTTGTATAATATTTTTTTATTATAGGATCATAAAAGGTTAAAGCATAAAACAAATGTGACGCGAAAAAGAAAAAGGGATCTTACGTCGCAAACATCAAATTTTGAGTAATTGGTTACTTAAAATTCTGCACTATATTTAAAACATTTTGAGAACAGAATAGTTCTCCTATCTTGAAAATTGGCCATGTTGTTTTTTTTGTCAACACAAATATTGTTTGAATTTGTCATCGGAAATTCTTTTTGAGAACAAAACTCTTTTCAGTTATAAAATGTTGGTAACTTCTTATTTCACATAATTCAGAAATGAAACTTAACCAAAAATTAAAATAATTGCCCTTAACATCAAACCTTAATATTTTTTCACTAAATATGTTTCCAACTCTGATCGATATGTTGGCCTCTCCTGCGATTTAGATTATCGCGACAAGAGGTCCTTTTTGCCTTTCCGTCTCACATATAAGTAGTAGCAAGGCATTAGATTGGCAGAAAAGTGAACTAGTTTTTGGCTTCAATTGATCATCGTTATCAATTAATCTAACTGTTATGAGATACATGTGTTGCTAAAACTAAAACAGCTATGCTATAAGATAACACTGTCGTTAAGAGGATGTCAGCGCAGCGATTTACTGGCACTAAAACATGTTTATTTTAATTAAAAATTAGTGGCTCTTAATTGATATTAATGCTAAAATACCAATTAGATTATTTAAAGAAAACAATTTTTGAAGGGCATCTCGAAGCCATTTTTTCGAAACACTCGATTTTTAGAAGTTATAGGGTATAAAATTAACAAAAAATGTGTCTTTTTTCAAAATAAATTAATGAATTTCAAATAAGACATTTGAAATAACAAAAAAAAACTCACTCAGTAAGCCGTGATTTTTTGATAAAAAAATCTAAGTTTTTATGGAAAATATTTTTTTAAAACGCTGTCACGCATACTGAGATAGTCCGAAAAATAATTTAACTACCAAAAAAGAGTCTTAATTAGAGAACTAATAATTACATATCACAGTTTAACCTTTAAGTTAAGATTTTGTAAAAAATTGCCTATACTTTACTCCTTAAAATGGGCTGCACTGACATATTCTTAAGACGGCTCAGAGTAGGCAATTTACATTTTTCGTTGTATAAAAAAAGATATATTTTATATATATTGACGATGACGACTTCAAATCTAAATTACTACTACTATGTGCTATGATTCTATTATTAATATAAAATATGTGTAAAATTGGGATCACATTGTATAAAAACACTATGAAAATAGTAAATTAATAATATTAAATTTATATATTGTTTTTCCCCTCCCTCTTCTTTAATTTATAATATGAATTTTTTTTTGGAGACTTTTAACTTATCACGAACCTCCCAAGTACAAATGAGATTTCAGAGAACGACCTAAAAGTGTTTAAAGCTCATACTACACGTGACCAACGCAATGTACCACAATACTAGAGTAACGAGCAATATAAATTGAAGCCAAAATTGTCTGCCACCGGTAGACACTGCTAAATGGCCAGTGCCCAAACTCCTACTCGTGTATATCTTTTTGACTTGAAACTTTAAATCGATTCTTCATAGTTTTCATAATTGTATCTAATTTTACACTTACATAATGTATTTCTTTCTACTAGTTTTAGTTCCGTCATAAACCGGTTATACTTGGGTCCTAAAATTAAAAACGACATATATATTAAGGTACCACATATTTTTACGATTGACACCAATATGTCTCTTTTATTTTTGTCGATATGAGTTCACTATATAGTTACCACTTTTCATTGTAATACAGAACACAACTATGTTATTTGTTAAAATTAAGTAACAAAAAATAATAGAATATGCATGGTGTCTGATAAGCAGTACAAATAAAAGAGCAGTGTTGCTCATGAAAGTAGGAGTGAAGTGGGGTCATGAACTAACAAAATAGCAGACTTGGACACAATGTAGATATCATTACTCTGATAGGCTGAATTTTTTGGGTAGGGGTCTGGAACTTGGCCCTTTTTCACTGTTAAGTTTTGGTTGGATTTGGATTACGAGAAAAGTATTGTGTCTGTAGTCATCACTTAATTTATTGGACAATAATTGTTAACAATTATAATTAGTTGTATCGGTATTATAATGTAGTGAATTATTCCTATTGAATACCTTATAAAATATAAAACTCCTTATTAATATTTACCGAATTTACTTCTGAATATATTTTTCAAAGCTTTTTTTACACTACGTCTTCTCTGTTCTGCAAGGGTTGTCAAATTTAATCCTTCAGGATCTACAAAAATAATTTATACATGACTGTTTAGAGAAAAAATAATAAAAAACATTTTAGTTGGTCGTGATACGTAATTGGATTACATTTCAAAGAATTGTGATATAATTATAGTTTTTTTTTTCAACCAGTCATTAATGTTAATACCCAACGAATGCATTCTTTCTGTACTCGAAATCCCAAATAATTTATTATACAATATATATATATATATATATATTATATATTATTTTTTTATTGAAAAGTAATAAAAATTAATTTATATACAAAACGTTCTACTATGTCTCTCTCTCTCTCTCTCTCACACACCTAAACAAATATTTTATATTATTAAAACTATTATTTGACATACAGCATTAAACAATTTTAAAAAACCACATTTTAACTCTAACACAAGTTTTTAAATTCGTATTCACCTTCGCGATATAGATCATCAGAAATATCAATGTCTGTAACAAATACACCAAACATCAAATCATTATGCAGAAAATAAAACCCAGTTAATATATTTTATATTTTATAAATAACAGTTACTCTAAAACTGAGATAAATTAGACCAAGTAATCAATGCAAAATATTATTGTATAAATGCTAAATTATTTATCATAAAAAAATTTGAACAGACGGTTTCTACAAATTGTCGAATAATCATCATAAAAGCTTTTTTAATCTAATTTTTTAAAGGCTTTTTTCACAACTATAAATATATGGGCCATTTGGAGTCAAACCACGCGGTCATCGGCCAGACCTCTTCAAAATTGTTCGTAATTTTTTTTTTGAAATTTTTATCATTCATATTTACCCGCTAAAATAGAGGTTTTTAAAGTTATTTTTTACGAAAAATCAAATGGCGACCTGTTTTAAAATTTAGTGTGTCCACAGCTTAAAACCATGCGCCTGTATTATTTTTTATTTTATTCTAAATTTTTCACAATTTACTACTAATTACACTGTATAGTACAAAAAAAAAAAAAAGAAGTAAATCACGGCTCATTTCCGTCATTAGACGAAAAGATTGGGTTTAAGTCTCTGATTTTATAATAAAATCTTCAAAATTTAAAAACTGGTCGACGTTTATTGTTCATGAAAAATACCTTTAAAACCTCTTTTTTGAGGGTCTTTTATTGGAAGAGGTCAGTTCGATGACCGTATAGTTTGACACTCAGAGTGTCCCATTTATATACATATTTAAAATTTGATACTTACCCAATGTCTCCTTTATTTCTTTTCGCATACTCAACTGGTATCGTATAGCAGAAACTAAAATTTAAAACCGAATATATTTTAATCTACCTACATTTATTATTGAAAACAATATGTCCCATTGGTATTTGACAATAGGTACATATGATTTTTCTCAAAGTATTTATAAATAATGAATAGACGTTAGATATTATAGTAAACATAAACTATTGAAATATGGTTACCGGTCGGTGGAATAAAGCGAGCAAATGCTAAAATTAAAACAAAAATCTTTTGTTCATAAATAATATCAAACAACTTTGCAGAATCACTTCCATGATGTGCAATGAAAATTATTACCCGATATAAGGTTGGTAAGGTCCAATTTGTCTAAAATTAACATTGTAAAAAATAATAATATTGCTTTAATTTTCTATTAGTATAACAGGAAGACGAAGCTCAAGGTAGAAAGAAAACATGTTTATTAGCAACTCGGAAGAAATGTGTGCCATCGGATATTAAATATATTTCTTTAGGAAATTTAATAGGAATAAAATGTTGGAAATATTTTCATAAAATTCAACAAAAGCTATTACCCGGTGATGCGATCATGAAATTGATTTGGGCTGAAATAGACATTATAAAAATTAATGATAATAGATTTGATTTACTATTGTAAATGTTTACATTTTATATTTATATAAATTAGAAGGAAATGTAAAAGTAGAAAAAAACTATATTAAATAGACTAAGGAATCTTTTTGAAAACATAATAGCTGAATTGAAAAAGATTCCATTTGATCTTCGAATATTTATATCACATCAATTGCATAAAAATAAATTTCAGTTAAAATTTTTATATTATTTTCAAATATTTTTTTTCTACTATTATAATTTTTGTTTTGTTATAATATTATTATAATCATGCTACCGAAACTCCTGTAAGAACGGTCATCATTAACTATTTTTTCAATTATATGCTCCAATCCATCTAGAATAAGCAGACAAAGATTTAGACTATACTAAAAGATTGAAATAAAATTAATGTAGGTACCTACTAACTACTATATACATTTTATAATAAATAGAATATTACAAAGTACCTATACATGACTAATAGGTACTAATTAATAGGTAAATATTGGCATAACAATTTTATATGTCTTACTTGCTCTATTATTATTTCCTACAACTAAATCATTCTTATTAAATGCTTGCTCGATGGCTGCATCTGTAATACATAGTTTAAAAATATTTATAAAAACAGTGAATTTAAAAACTTTATAAAGACAAAAAAAACCACCGACTTGTAAGAAAAACAATCTTTTTATATGTCGCTGTAAAAATAAGAATTATTAATTTTTTTTTTTTTAATTTATAACTATTAAGTTGGTAATTGTGTAAATAAAATAATTACCATCATCATTTGCCGATACACTTACAAGGACAAATGTGAATAAAACGCAGAGAAGTTTCATTTTGGACTGCAAATAAGATTATAAATAAAATCAATTTATATTAGCTACAGCTGCCTCCGGTGCTAAAATAAGAAGGTATTGGTTTTCCAAGACTATTTTTTGTATAATATGTTTATATATATAAGTTTTTTTACTAGACAACATATTTCTTATACCGTTAAACTGATTTTTTTGTATAGCAAGGTAGAAATCGAACCCAAAAAGTTCTTTATTTAGCCACAACTGTAGTAATTCACATAGATTTCACGAATGTTAATTTATGATTTCTTATGAAGATATACAAAAATAGTAAATTGGTCTATAGTAACTATTTTAATGGATTGTAAAATAGTTAGGTTTCACTATTCACAATACTACACACAAGTTGTAGTGAAAAAATACAATTTTGAAATTTATCATAACTCAAAAAATTTCAATACTACAAAAATTGTGTATGGTACTAAAATTAGCATATTATACGTAAACAATTTTATTTTTAGAATTTTTTTGTGTTCGCTAAAAATTAAATTCCAAAATTAAAAACATGCAAAAATAAGTTATTTTAACTTTAACTTAATTTTTAAAATAAATAATAAAGTTTTTTTTTTAATGGCTTTTTATTTACTGCAAATTAGTTTATTTTACAACAAAATCAAATTTGGAAAAAAAAACTGTATAAAAACTTGTTTTTGCATGTTTTAAATTTTTAATTTAATTTTTGGCGATTATAAAAAAAAAGGTAAAAATAAAATTGCACACATATATTGTGCAGAATTTAATTCCCTACAAAACTACATTTTTTAAATTTTTTTTAGTTATGATCGATAAAATGTATATCAGTTTACTGAATATTACTTTTTTGAAGATATTTTATTATTATTTTTTTTATTACTTTAGGTTTGTGTTCACCAAGTCGCTGCTTATGTAAGGTATTATGTTAAAGATTTCAAAAATGGACTTTTTTCTCTACATCCTACAGTTTACATCAAGCCAAATAATGTATAAATTATAAACCTTTTTTTAGATTTCTCTTCAAAATGTGGATTGTGAAAAACGCAATATTTGTAATAATTGTTTTAGTAAAGCAAAATAAAAAAAACATTGGCTTAAAAACGTTGTTAATGGACGCTGTTAGGACCCGATAAAAAATTAACTTTTAATAAATAATATATTTAATACGGTTTTTTTACCCTATAACTTTCGATTCATTAAGCTCGTGAGGTATTCTAAGTACAAAATATAAAAATGAATTTAACCAAATATTGTTATTTGAGTTAGATTTTGAAAACGGTTATTATACACATTTCTTTCTAAACATGACTTCGGATAATTCTTCTCAATAAACTCATGATTGATTTAAATCAAAGCTATTCATAATTTAAAAATAATTTTTAAAACCCTGAATTTTTTAAATAAATGTTTCATAGAAAATTTAAGAAAAGTAAAACAGTTAAGAGTAATATAAAAATCTCAGTGTTTATAGCACAAATTAATTTAAATTAGTTTTAAAAAAATCTTAAACACAAACATGTGTACAAGAACAAAATGTATTTAATTCGTCAAGTCGTTGTGGCACACCTGTATACACAAACCTTAAGTTAAAAAAAAAATGAAATTGGACACGTAAGTATATCATGCAGAATTTGGTTCTTTACAAAATTATATTTTTTTTAATTTTTGTAGTTAGAAATTATTTAAGTTATGACGGATAAATTCATTTTGCTGATTATATATTATTTTTTTTTTTTTTTTACTTAATGATTTCAAAAATGGCTTTTTTTCTACACCCAACAGTTTACATCAAGCCAAATAATGTATAAATTAAAAATCTATTTTGGAATTTTTCAAAATGTAGATTTTGTCAAACGCAATGTTTGTATATGCTTTAGTGATAAATATAAGAAAACCGTTCGATCAAAAACGTTGTAAATGAACGCTGTCTTAAGATCCAATAACAAAATAACTAGCAACTAAAAAAAAAAACTTATTACCGTTTTTCTACACTATAAATTTTGGTTGAACGAGCTAAATAATTACAATTTTTAGAGTTTCATAGAAATACTTACTAAAATAATTGTCGAGCGGATAGAGTTTCTTAGACAATAATCGACTTGACTCGCTTTCGAAACTAAATGTTCTTCTTGTGACTTATGGATGGGCTTTTATTTCGACCTAAAAATCCGAATTCAATAGGTTTTTGCAGTGTAACTATGTTGAATTATTTATACAGCCGATTGTTTTTTTTTTTTTAGTATGATTTATGGCGAACATACCTACATTCCGGATACGGTTATAATATAATTTATATAGATCGTTAGCGATATTGATATACAAACAATTTTAATAACGTACATTATAATATGATATTGATATAATAATTCGTTTAAAAAGTTACTAGGTGTAACCATGTTCAGCAATAGCACTAATGGATAACTAAGTACCTACTCAATGCTAATTATATGCAAGACCAGACCAGACCTTAATTGATTTATTAAACGATTTCGTGTTAATTGATTGGGCGGCTTATCGGGTTGGTTAGGATTACTTAAATGTATAGAAATTCGTATTTTAATCAATCTCAGCAAGTTTACTGTTGTAGCTACCGTGCCTATATTGTAATCCTTTACAACATTATGAATAATAACAGTATTATTATTTGAGCTGGAGATAAAACGAACGTTGCTGTTTAATTCCAGTATTGTTTCCTAACCGTAATTTAGTTATAATGTATTTGCTCATCCGGTATAAGATAGGCCTATAGTCAGGCCACCGATTTCTTCGTTTTCGTCGATATTTGTATTGCTACCATTGTTTTCCCCTCGTTTACACATAACCGACGCAATATTCGATAGAAATTAAAACACATGTTATTAAACGTGTCAACTTTTATTTATTTAATGCTTATTTTTCGCCGTGAAATTAAAATAATAGCATACCCGAACACTATTTACCATCTTTTCCGCAATTTACTGCGCCGCCACCTTTCTATAGTGTGATATTATAAAAAAATGTCTATTCAAACGTACTTTGTATGGGGAAAAAACTGTGCTACATAAGCTTCGGGCAAACGATCAAATTTGATGTGCCTTCTCCATCCTTCTCTGTCCAACGCCAGGCTCCTTCAATTAGTACCACCTCCCAACTGATCAACGGCCGACTTTCCTACCCTCACACAACATAACTGGTCGCAGAATAATTGTCCATGTCAATATGGACCATAATATTATTAACGTAGCCGTTGGCCACGGCCTAAACATATTAATACAAGGTTATATTTAAGTGTGTGAGAAAACCACGCATTCCACGGCCGAGGGGAACGAGGGGAAGGAGATGGCGGCGACCGAAAACCCTCGAATCCGTATTCCGATCACGCGAGCATTAAGAAGATCCGTCTTGTCCGTGTATTAATATAATATGTACTTACATATTATTATACCCGTGGCGTTGTCGTTTGTGCGATGTGACTATATTTCATACTGTTATACATGTACTGTAGCACGGAGAACGTGGCGGAAGGGAATATAAATGAGAGCTCATTAACGATAGCCGCAGCTTCCATGCGTACAAATAAATATATATATATATAATGTATAATCATATAGTAACAATAATGTGTGTACAACGGGGCCGAACGGCTTAAGCATCGTGCCCGACCGCGTGTTGTCGGGTCAGAAATCAATATCGGCCGGGTCGTTTGACATATTATTATTATTATCATTATTGTAAGTACGATATGTACAAGTACGAGTGTGTATGTTTGTGCTTTGCCGGCGGTCAGTGCCCTATAGCGCGTAGCAGTGTATACACAAGTATACACTGTACATACACGAGAAACCGCAGTTAACGCACAAGAAGTGGATGTAATACGTTGTGTTATTAGCCATTAGGTATTGCTTTTGCGCGCGATGGGCCCAGCGGGCTGTGCGCGGTGTTTGCACATCAATCGGCCGGAGAGACCGGGCCGAGTGCGAGGATCATCGGTCAGATCAAACGCCGGTGCTAAATTTCCGGTAAATCTAAAAAGAAAATAAACCCTATCCAAGTACACACACACACGAGTTCAAAGTCGGACCGGTACGATTAAATATTTACCAAGACCGGGTCGTGCCTCCGGGGCGGGTTATATGTGTATAGGTATAGCGGTCGTCCGGGGATATCCTCGGCCGTCTTAAAACGCTTATAATGTAGGTACATAATGTATTTATTTATAAGTGTGGCGTGGCGTGGTCGCGGTGCAAAAGTCCCCGGGGGGGGGGGGGGGGTTGATAGCTATTTTTCGAAAACCCGAGTACGACGCCCAAGAGTCCGAAGGCGATTTCATTTTTTTCGACCCTCCAAACGACTATCGACGAGTAACGGGTCTGGGAGCCCAGCCGTTTATAGAGAATTAGTCGAAATCATTTTTACCACGGTTATTACCGCCTTTCAAGTATACATACCGACACTAAAAATCGAGAACATCACACCGATGCTGATGTTATACACATCTACTGATGAAATTCGCATCCACTTGGGTAAACATAGCTCTTAGAGCGTCTACATTGTAGGGTTCTTTTTGAAAGTCCAATCAAATACCACCCTTTGAACAGGGGACCGGATCAAAGGTGTATCGGCGATAAAGCACTTCTGCGAAGGTAGGACTAAGCCATAGATATAGTAATATTATTGAAAATTTGCAATCGATTGCCGAATGAGTTAGTTGTATGTGTGTCAACGTATAGAAACAATTTTATTCTAGAGATGGAACCGCTTTTTACATTTTGGCCCTGGGTGTGTCTGGTTGAGCTTAGCCTGGGCATGTCGAGGAATTCTTGCGTTTCTTTCTACCTCCCTATAAAGCCCAGAGGGTATAATAATACTCGTGATTGGTATATGTACAACGCCAGCTGTTCGACAGTGTGCTATAATAGTACATAATAATATAATACCAACGTTTGGTAGCCGGATAATGAAATTATTCGATTATTTACCTGACCCGGTGGAGTGCCATTTATTGGTTGTACCTACCCAAAATATTTAAGGGCTCGTTGCATGACTATAATATAGTTATGTATAAGCACCCATCGATATTATATTATTTTAAGTGTTGCACTATATTGTGTGTGTATAAAAAAAAACATTCAAACGTGTCTGTACGATTGACGTCTTAGCTGTAATATTTTCTTATAACAATGGGACAATATTATACTTTGTTATTATAGATATTGTCAATACAATATATAGTATTAATATGTTATTATTGCGACGGTTAGACGAGCCGTCCCGTTTGTCGAAGCTTTACTACATTGTTATAAAATATTAAATTGATTGGAAACTAGTCATATCTATTTTGCAAAACCGTCAAATTATACATTTTATACATATACACCTTACAATGTAACATAATATCCTCGTTTATGTTAAAAAAGACTTTTTAACATGAAAACTTGAGAACTATGTTCTACACGAGACAATAGATGAGATGTATTCTCCTGAAGGTGTATTTGTTTTGACTTATAAAAAAAGAAAATCTCTCTAAGCAGTGATACAAAATAAGGTATAACAAAATGTCATGTTTTCTATGTAGGTAAGTTTGTCAATAGTCTTATAATAATTGTTTGACAGTTAAACAAATTCTAAGCGTTTCAAATAGATGTAAAAAAAATATTTAGAGAGACAAAATTGGCAAAATCTAAAGGTATAGTCGGTATTCAATTGTGTATCTTGGCAAACAGTAAATTTTTAATATTTTATTGCTTTTTTAAATGTTTAATAACTACATCTGTGTAGTCGACTATTACAATTACTGCAGTGCTTTTAATTAATGTACAGCATGTCCCAAAAGTACAATGACAATAAAAGTGCTAAAAATGAAATTTAACTACTTAACACTATTATAGGTAATATGATATATTATGTTATTGATCATATTTCTGGTTAAACGCGACGGTCGAAAAAGATCAAACAGTCGACATTTTCAATGATCAAATTATGATTAAAAATGTTTACATGACCAATATTTTAACGTAAGACACTCATTTTATGTTAAATAAATATCGCATTTTTATAGTTTTTTTGTTTTTGGAGACACTTAGTTTATGTTGTTTTGGATTATTGGAAAATTTAATTACTCTTTAAATCAAGGATAAATTTAACCAGTCGATAACCAGTTTATCGGATAACTGCTTTTGAAGTTACTAAAGATAAAAATAATACTACACCCTTCCTGCCGTCTTAAGTTTTAAACCTTAGAGGACGCCACTCGGCTCACTTCTAAGGAGTAAAGTATAGGCAATTTTTTTGCAAAATCTCAATTCAGAGCTTGAACTTTTGTTAACATAGTAACGCAAATTCAATTGTTGATGGCCATTTTTCTATAGGAATAGATAGCCCATTTTTTTCCCCCATCAAAACTGCTTTGCGAGGGACAAACTTATGAGTTCAATATTCACAGTGAAGTTACCAAATTTTTGCCATACATATAGAAGAGAACAGTAGTTGTATATGTGCGCTACGACACGTATTTTTTATTTTTTTAGTCTTTCACTAAAAATATTCTTGTGAAATCGATCACCCTGTACAGTATAAAAACGAAAACATCTGTCGTTACTGTTTAACCAACGAGTCGACTCCATTTGTGACTTATTCGATACCGTTGTTTTTGTTCGATACTACAAAAATTAGTGTACGGTTGCAAAACGCATGGCTAAAAAAAAAAAAATCATGAGCATTTCAAAGTACACACAAAACAGTTCACTTGGATTTTGTCCGAGTACACAATTTTTCATACTTAACTACTATTGTAAGTCTCGGATTTGTGTGGAGCACAAATAATTACATGTACAAATAAATATTGTACTCAATCACCCTGTATATTATATATACAGGTATTTCATTAGGGATAAGACACTCGTTTTCTGTTGAAACAATTCTATAACAATATCAAATAAACTTATTATTACTTGTTACACTGTTAACTGTTATTGTAAGCAAACTGCTATTTAGGGTTAAAAATTACAATTGTATCCTCTACCACTCTATGTCCCTGCTGTACCCACTGGTTCATTATTTTATAATTATTATTATTTATAACTTTAAAACGCACACTGTTATGATGTTTTTTTTCTTCTCGTCCATCTAGTAATAATCATAAGACCCCTTGTATTTTTTTTTTTCTTGTTTATTTATTATTT